AACATGAACTCAACATGGTAGATGACTGGTGCAAACGCTGGAGGTTAGAGCTCAACATAGAGAAATGCGGCTGGTTATGTATAGGAGACACGTCTCTTAAAATGAAACTAACAATTAGCGATCACGCACTCCCCAGACTGGCATCAGTAACTGACCTAGGGGTACATTATTCACACAGTCTTAATTTCTCTGAACACATCTCAGCCAAAGCATCCAAAATGCGGAAATTGCTTGGCTTCATTCTCCGTAATTTCTATCAAAATGAATCTAAAATCCTTCTTTACAAAGTTTGTGTAAGACCTATCGTTGAATACTGCTCGTTCTTATTTTCCAACCTACGTCTATCTGATATACTAAAGGTGGAAGGAATACAACGAGACTTCACCCGCAAAATACTTAAGACTGGCTCGGTCATTGACTACAGTTCTCGATGCCAAATCTTAGGAATAGCACCCCTTTGGGAGAGAAGGCTTAGGTCTAATTTGATTCTCTACTTCAAACTACTCAAAAACCTTACTTACTCAACATGTCAGATAATTCTTGCCCGAGATTCACATGAATACGAACTTCGAAACAAAGTATCTACGGTCAAAGTTGAGAAATACAGATCAAAAACTCGGGAAAACTTCTTCCTCACCAAGTATGCAATAATATGGAACAGTCTTCCTTCCGAGACTCGCATGGCAGATGAACTACATACGTTTGTGAAACTGCTTGATCAAGCCCTCACTCGCACTGATCTTGCACGTACGAACACATCTGCACCCCACTCAGACATCATAGGCTCTCTCCATGTCTAGACCAAAATGGACTTCAAGTTCAGTTTGCCTTATTTTTCCTACTTTGCAGTTGTATTAATTACTTTTTCCACCCCATTTCTTCACTTGAAGTAGACAGGTAACTCACTGGACCTATCATTACTGTCAAACTAAACTCGGTCGATAAGGGACAATCACTACCACCCTACAAAGTCAAGAGGACCCGACAATCGGCTGCCTACTACCAGTGGTCTTGCATCTATGGAACCTGTTACCAATCAACTGGTTAAGACAACAGAAAATAACATCAGCACCAAGTTACTGTGAGTTCCTTCCTGTTTATCCTATATTAACTTTTTACTCTTCTGTACACAATGTTGACTAGCAATTAATATTATTTCTCTACTCGTTCCCTTATCCACAACTCATACTTCTATACTTTTTCCGCCTGCTTAAATAAACAACTATCCTACAATATACCCTTCTTAACGCTTATACTCTGTTTGGCAAACTATACTTTATACTATAGTCAACAGAGGCACTGCATCGATGCTTTACCCACAGTCCACAGCTTGTAACTGCCTGATAAGCTTGTAAAATGGTACTTATAGAAATAGTGCTTTCCAACAAGTTGTGAAACAGAGGATTGTGTGAGGTATGACGTATATACAAAAATAAGCTTAAATGAGCCTAACATCACAAAAGGAGGGAGGGTGGAGTTACTGACCAGCAAGCATTGATGGTGAGGGCGATAACTTCAATCCACCCGTGTTTGTGGGGACAGAACATTTTGTATGTACCAGGCTCTTTATAATTGAGAATAAGACAGTCAATCTAAGATATAGATTGTCTTCCTATGCTCACCACTGAGACTCATGTTTCCAATAATATGCTGGATTAGCTATTCTACTAAGACAACCTATAACATGCTAACTCAGACTTTTACACTAGGATTGCGTGGCTGACATCGGATGGACAAAAAAAGAAAAGAAAAAAGACAATAAAAGATATAGTCACTAGTATTCTTAACACTTCACCCTCTATATATACACCCTTCTAATAAACCGCTTCCCTTGTACCAACCTTGACTTCCCTTCCTTCATGTGAGCTTACTCCAACTTGTTAAACATCACTACTCGTTGTTCTTTATTAGTACATTCTCTAATATGGAGCCTCTGACTTCACTTCACTCTAACAAGACATAATATGAATTTATTCTAATTTATTATACCTCTGTCCGTTCTACTACACAATGTTAAGCAACCTTTGGCGTTCATATCCAAGTGCCTTGCTGCTCCTCTGTTTCTTTTTTTTTCTCCTTCAGAATCTTGCTCTGAGAGCACAACTATGAAACTTCTGACGTTTGGAGCAAACTTAACGTACGCGTCCTCTCAAGGTCATAGTTTACAGCAAGCGCTCTACGATCTCACTTTATAACAACTATAAACTTAATAAGTTGGGAATCATTTTGCGAACCAACAAATATTGTAATTTATAGATCATGCCTGTAAAAACGGTGTGTACCTGCACATGCAGAAATATATTATTATTATTATTATTATTACTTCAAAGAACTCTTGAATCGACCAGCCCCACTGAACCCACCCAACATCGAAGCAGCACCCACAGACCTCCCAATTGATGTTGGCCCACCAACAATTGAAGAGATCAGCATGGCCATCAGACAAATCAAGAGTGGCAAAGTAGCAAGACCAGACAACATTCCAGCCGAGGCACTGAAAGGAGACGTAGCGGCAACTACAAGGATACTCCACATTCTCTTCAATAAGATTTGGGATGAGGAACAAGTACCAACAGACTGGAAAGAAGGACTTCTGATCAAAATATCAAAGAAAGACGGTCTCAGCAACTATGATAACTACAGGGGCATCACTCTTCTCTCAATACCGGGAAAATTCTTCAACAGGGTATTGTTAAACAGGATGAAGGACTGCGTAGACGCCCAACTTCGTGATAAACAAGCAGGATTCCGTAGGGATAGATCGTGTACAGACCAAATTGCAACTCTATGGATCATTGTGGAACAATCAATTGAATGGAATTCATCACTCTACATCAACTTCATTGACTACGAAAAAGCATGTGATAGCGTGGATAGGACAGCACTATGGAGGCTTATTCGACACTAAGGCGTACTTGAGTAGATAGTCAATATCATACAGAATTCCTATGATGGATTAAACTGCAAAATCGTGCATGGAGGACAGTTGACAAACTCGTTCGAAGTAAAGACCGGTGTCAGGCAAGGTTGTTTACTCTCACCCTTTCTCTTTCTCCTGGTGATCGACTGGATCATGAGACGTCAACATCTGAAGGGAAACGCGGGATACAGTAGACATCTAGGATGCAGCTGGACGATCTAAACTTCGCAGATGATCTGGTCTTCTATCCCAAACGCAACATCAAATGCAGGAGAATACGACCAGTGTAGCAGCAGCCTCAGCAGAAGTAGGTCTCAATATACACAAAGGTAAAAGCAAGATTCTCCGACACAATACAGCATGCAACAGTCGAGTCACACTTGACGAAGATTTGGAAGATGTAAAAACCTTTACATATTTGGGCAGCACCACAGTGGATCTGATGAAGATATGAAGGCGCGGATCGGCAAAGCAAGAGTAGCATATTTATAACTGAAGAACATCTGGAACTCGAAACAACTATCTGCTAACCAACACCAATGTAAGAATTTTCAATACAAATGTCAAGACAGTTGTACTGTATGTGGCGGAAGCCTGGAGAACTACGAAAGCCGTCATCCAGAAGATACAGGTGTTTATTAACATTTGTCTACGCAAAATAATTCGGATCCCTTGGCCAGACACTATAAGCAACAATCTACTATGGGAGAAAATAAATCAGATAGCAGCGGAGGAAGAAATGCTAGAAGTGGGTAAGACATGCATTGAGGAAAGCAGCCAACTGAGTCACAAGACAAGCCTTCACATGGAATCCTGAAGGCCAAAGGAAAAGAGGAAGACCAAAGAACACATTACGCCGAGAAATGGAGACAGACATGAGAAAAATGAACAAGAATTGGACAGAACTGTAAAGGAAAACCCAGAACAGTGTGTGCCCGAGAATGCTGGTCGGCTGCCTATGCTCCAATGGTAGTAACAAGCGAATGTAAATAAGTAAGACATAAGTGGTCTCGGTAAACACTCACTAAAGTTGTAATTGTTACCTAAAATTAATTGGTCTTTAGAAAACAGTCTTCTATGGGAAATTAGAATCACTTCTGATATTTTCTCTCCACATTGAGCAATAATCCAGATTAATTTTTCCAGTTCCATAGCCTTTCTGCAAAAAGCACTGACTTCTGGAGTTGCGACACCAAATGTAAACAAACATCCAAGATGTTTGGTCGCATCAGTGGGTCACCAGATAGTTTTAGGGTAACGGTGTTGTGGAGCAGGTCATGTTTCAGGTGCTCTAGACCCAATACTCAAGCACCTAAATGGCGTTGAGATAAGAATGAGTGAGACTTGCTCATCATGCAGTCAGAGCTAGCTTTAAACACGGACAGCATTAGACTGGATGTGACCACTTTAAACGAAACGTAAATCACTCCGTTTCCGAAAAAAAGTGACTGTTTTGGAGGAAATTTATTGTTAAGGGTCACGGACCATAATCATTTGCACAGACTTTGCCAAGCATTCAAATCCTTTAACCAGATGTTTCGAATTTTCTATTCCACTTACGTCAGACCACATCTAGAGTACTGTGTTCAAGCAGTCGGCACATGTCTTATTTAGGACACTAACTCACTTAAGCATGTTGAGTGTGCAGGAAAAAATTAGCCAAAAGTCTTTCCAAACTCTTTTATGATGAGCGCTTAAAATGCTTGAACCTTTCCCCTTATCATCTTGTAGAAGTCGAGGTGACCTATAGGGCATTTCGTAACTTTAATTACGACTTGGGTGTTAGTATGTCCTATCTCTTTGTCCCATTAAGCACTAATAATCTTCGAAGCCATAGCAAGATGGTTGAAAAGTCGCGATCTGATAGACTAATAGTGAGGTTCCGTTTTTCTTATCGACTGGTCAACGACTGGAACGCCCTACTCGAACATGCGGTATCAGCCTAGTCAGTGAGCACTTTCAAAAAGAAACTGGAGCCTCACCAGAAGGCAAACTCTAAGGATTAGCACAAGTCTATCAACTTACTATCCTAATAACCGAAGACTGAAGACAAGGTCATCCGTCAAAAATATTAGATATTGGATTTGGTTGCGGCAAATTTACAAGTGTTGCTACTATGTTGGCTCCCCAAAGTCATTCTGGCTTTTGTAAGTTATTCGGTTGAATTACACTCTTACCAACACTGTCAGTCTCTAATGTTTTAAAGCGTTATATTAATTTTGATCGTTATCTCATAATTCGACACATGTACCAGCTTCGGGCACAAGTTTCAGTTTCAGTTTGGGAAGGGCAGGAGGCCTGATGGCCTGTGTTAGTCCTGGCAATGGTGGTATCTCAGTTGATCCAACTTTCTTTTAAAAGAATCGACGGATGGAGCCTTAACCACGTGTTGAGGTAATGAGTTCCACTCGTTGATGATTCGATGGGAAAGTCGATAGTCAGCTGACAAGTAATTTGTTCTTGGCTTGTGAACTCTTTGGAGTGTCCTCGTAAATTCTCTGTTTTGGAAGACAAGAAAAATGAGGGCGTATCAGGTGCAAATTTGGCACTAAGCAATTTGGAAGCTGTAATCAAGTCGCCTATAGTTCTGTGATATGACAACGGGAAAAGGTCCAGCTTGGCCAGTCGAGCTTCATACGGAAGCTTCGCTATTCCGGGAATCAGCTTAGTTGCCGTTCTCTGAACCTTTTCCAGAAGCTCACTGTCTTTGTTAAGCAGGGGCTAGCCGCTTGTATACAGTACTCAAGTTTAGGACGTAGCACACTATTGCACGGTAGTGTGCAGTAGTCTTTAAGTCTTGGCTAACGATGACTCCTAAGTCATTATATGTCTGGACGACAGGTAGCTCAGTGTTACTCATCGTGTATGTATCTGTACCTTGATAACCGATATGCATCACAACACACTTGGAAGTATTTATCGGCAACTGCCAGGTTTCAGACCATTCAGATAATTTCTTCAGATCATTTTGAAGTTCTAAGCTATCACTTCCACATCGTATCGTTCTCCATATCTTGACATCGTCAGCATATGGCAAGACCGATGATGATAGGAGACGAGGAAGGTCATTTACATACAAGAGGAATAGCACTGGCCCCAAAACTGTACCCTGGGGCACTCCACTAAGCACAGTTCCCCAGCTAGATAACTTTGAGTTCCCTCGAACTCTTTCATATTCAAATACCAAAATTTGGGTACTCATCTTTAGGGATGAAGCTTCACTTTGTCCTCGTGTTTACACATCTTAACCCTTGGTGTTCTTCTACCGTTAAATTTCTTTTTGACGAGCGACCGAATAAAGTGTGTAAGTTGTTAAATTTGAATTTCAACGTGTGTATGATCATATTGCCAGGGAATTTAAACAAAACGAAGTAGTCTCGATGTGTTTTGTTCCCCCTTAGTAGGTAACTAGCAGATGGCCAACACGTTTAGGTGTATACATGGCCATATATATATATATATATATATATATATATATATATATATATATATATATATATATATATATTCTCACACGTTGAAATTCGAGTTTAAAGTCACTCGAGTGACTTTACAGGATTTATGATGTGAACTAATCCTTATAGATTCATTAACATAGTGAAATTTTGTACGAAAGAATCCATTTCAGTGGCAGCTAAGAACCTGGTGTCTGTTCTGAGCAGTTATTGAAGTCAGGTAGATTCTGGACATCCATTCTTAAATGTTACTGTGAGTGAATATTGTACAGGTGACTAATAAAGTTAGAAAATTTCTTATATACCTTAATATATAATATATGAGTAATATTGTCTCTATCTATTGAGAAAATAAAATCCATTTGGACAACACTGATCATCCATAGTGTAAACAAGTGCTTTACACCACAGAAGTTCAAATTCCGCAAATTTAACAGACTCTCCAGTTTGCACTCACCCTAATGATGACCTCTTGATATTCATTTTCACCTTACGGTGAAGAGAGAATCTTGAACGAGTGTGCATCAGCCCAAGTTACTGCGAATGTCCGGCTCTTTAACCAGGCTGGTGGGCACCAAGAGTCCACCTAGGGGAGTTAGAAAACCATGATCCCAAACCAACGTTGAACATGGGCTCCATGATACTGATGGAACAAATGGCGTATGAACCGATCGTTGGTCACCGGTTACCATGGGACTGCATCTCCTGACGTTGCTCCATTGCCTTGTGGGTCGGACCTTTAGGTCGACGGCTCCGGGTGTGACCCCCTGAGAAAACCACCTGCTTCGGTCTGGGAACCCAGGCAGTACCAAAGCCCTCACACAAATCCGTGATAATTACTACTGGCCTCATTGTTATTGTGTGGTGCAATGTATTTGGTACCCCCTTGTACTAATATTTATATGTTCAAATAATAACTAAATTGGTACAGCTAACAAATCAAGCTGAATGGCAACTGAACAAATAATAATATCTATGATGGTGGGAATGACCAACTATTTAGGTGGAGTTTTGTTCTGCGAGCTGAATGGTTTGGTCTTGGAACTTTCATTTTTCTTTTGAACAACATCAACACAAACTCCAGGTAGAAGTGAAGTGCTCGAATTTCTCCACATATGACTCACAGCTTGTCCTGTCGACCTCGGTCTCGGTCGGTTATTGCTGACCTTTAGCTCGTCACTATCCACTTTTTTATTTTGACTGTAGCTACGATTGGTTTGATTCTTGTTTCTATATTTATCTGTTTTTTTCCGATTGGTTGATAGATTGGACCGATTTCAATGCGTTAGTTGATTGCTGATTGACCTGAGCACTAAACTTCTAAAAAATATCTGGTGTTTTTAGTACTCCCTCTATCCAGGATCTCGACATTTTTCCAGTCGAATGTGTCCATAGTTGTTCAAATGAATCGATATAGGCGAGAATGTCATGACGATTGACTGCCAGTTTATGTTCGTGCAGGCGAGGAGGAAGGGGGCGTCCACCCTGTTCGATGTAGCGCTTTTCGCAGTTGAAACAACTTATTTTGTAGATGATATTCGGCTTGCTTCTTTTGTCATTTCGTCCTCTGGTTTGCATAGGATCGATTGGAGTGACTTTGCTGGTTTGTGTGCTACACCTATTCCAAACGGTTTCAATAATGTCGTAATTCATATGTCTTTTATATCGAGGGAGTACTGGTCCATTGGATTTCATTCTCCATAGATCTTGCTTTGGCATTTGTCCTGCATTGACGAGCTTGTTTAAAGTCCTTGAGATTTGGTTGTCTAACCTTTGATTGGATTTATATCTATTGGTTTATATACTCCTTCATGCTCAAGCAGTTCCTCGGCTTTCCTGATATATTCTTTCTTGTCCATTGTTACTGAAGTTCGTCACCGATGTGCTACCTGGCGCCCTCCTTCTGCATCTGAAGCCAGGACTCAGATTGATCACATCGTGATCAGCTACCACTGGCGTGGTTGCGTACAAGACTTCTACTCTTTTTGGAGTGCTTATCTGGACTCTGATCATGCCCTTGTTTGCCTTAGATGAGCATGGGTTGCAACTGCATGACGCCATGAAAATAACGATTAAAGCCACTTGCGGCCTCGCGAAACGTCCCGCTTATAAGCACTGGGTTTCTTCAGGCTCCTTACAACTTATCGAAGCCCGTCAGTCTACTCCGGGTGACCGTGAGTTTGACCACAATCGAAGGATGTTACGTAATGAAATCGGGCAAAACTTGCGTAAGGACCCAGAAGCCTGGTGATCGGAGCGTTCTAATTAGCTGGGAGCAGCAGCTGCATCTGTTAACTGTTGGAAGCTCTTCCAACTAATCCGAGCCACTAGCAGCAAGTCTGGTGTAAGCGAAACAATCTGTGAAGATGACGGGATGCCAATCACTAACATCCACCGACGTCTTGGACGATGGGCAGAATCCTTCGAAGGGCAGTTCCACTGGCCTGCTGCTCCGGCAACATAGGTCAGGCTGTCCTGCCCTCCATGGCCGTTGGCAACTGATCCACCTAACGATGCGGAAGTCCACAAGGAACTCCAACTCTTGAAACGCTACAAATCACCAGGCCCAGATGACTTACTTCCAGCCCTTTTAAAGATGGTGGCAACTTTCTGGTTAAGAAACTGACTGAGTTGTTCACAAAGGCCTGGCAATTAGAGAGTGTTCCAGCATCATGGAATGAGTCGGTAATCGTTCACATCGTTTCTGTACCAACTATCAGGGGATAAGTCTACTTCCCATTGCGTCCAAACTATCGGCTTCTGTCATACTTCGTAGATTGCTCAAAACTCGAGAAAGATTGGCTCGTAAGGAGCAATAATGAATACTGTAGTTCGTCCTTTGTCCTCCGGAACTATGACAATATCTTCTCCAGTTCCGAGTCTCTTTAGGGCTTTTTATTTTTGTAAGGTCATTTAAAGGATGAAAGACAACACTCAGAAGCTTGACAGTAGTCCATCAATACATTCCTTGAGACTCTTGTGTATCAGTTAAACTTTCTATAATTTACACCATAGACAGAGGTTAGTGGTACCAACCATAGCACGAACTAGCAAAACTTAGAAAAGTAGCTAAATAAAATCGGGAGACAAAAAGCGCGGGATTGTTCATGTTGAGGTTTTAGCGGAAGCTGAACAATAATCATTCTTTATTACTCTGATGAGTTTTGGTCATAGCTGGTAAAGTTTGTAAATCAAACACACGCTTTCCTGGACCTTATTAAACAGGACTGGGATCACATGAGTTACCTGTGTAAAACGATAGACTACAGACCTACGAAACAGATGATAACTTCATGGTATTCTAGACAATGTCATATGTTAAGTTACTTGAAAGTTCTATCATGCATTTACGAATTATTTTAATGCCAATTTATTTCTTACTTTAACATGTTTATTCCAGATAAAACTACGGTAACCAAATGTTTTCTGGCATTCAGTGTGATATTTTCCTTCATCCTATTAATGCCATTTTCAAAACGGAAAGATATATTTACCTATAATTTAGATGATATTTTCGAAAATGGATCGGTTAGTATAAAATAAAACTATCTTGAGAATTTTTTTCCTTACAAAATAATCTTGCACATTAGATATGGAAATTAGCACTTTGCCAACTACCTTTTCTTAGTACAAAAGATCTCGTATGCGGTGGATTACTGTTGTACTATTTTCGAATATTTGAACGACGCTATGGATCAAGAAAATTTCTGGCAAGCTTCCCTTGGTTTATATTATGTTTTATTATTCTTAATGCATATTTAGTCATTCCTATTTTATTGTGCTGCAACGACAACATTCGTCGAACTGTTGATGGCTTTTATTTTGAGGAAATTAAACTTTTCACTTCATATACTTCCTTCTGGACCGTAAGTTACTGTGCATAGGCGTTTTAATATTACGTTATTAGATTTAATTTGATTTTCCCACTTTTTGTGCCCTATTTTCTGGACATTCCATGGGTCCCCGTCGCACATGTGATGAGGATCCCAATAACTGGAAAATCATTTCCATACATATTTGGATTTGAAGTAAGTATCCAGACTTACCTACTTATTACGTTTCTAGATTGCTATGACATCTCCGGAATCTTTATTTGTTTGTATATGCGGTTTGGTAAGTTGTGTGTAATATTTTATGCGTCAACCTAGAAATTGGACTGAATATATTCTTTACCATCCCCACTGGTCCCTTTTTTATCATTGCACGCAATTAATTTTCTTAGTCATAGAGGAGTTTTGAGTTTTGATAACGACGAATGTTTGGGCTTATTTAAATAATGATTGGAGCCGTGGTCGGTAGACGATGTACGGTCACATAATAAGAGCCATTTATAATTGCTCGAAATCTTGAATTAGTGACATGGGTCCTCAAATGGACTATTATCCAAAAATAATAACTTGCTTGCTAGCATAGTAAGTTTTTCTTCCAGTAAAATGATATGCATGTTTGTAACACATAAAATACCAAAGAAAGTTTATTAGCTGTTTGTTTAAAGGAGTTTTGTAGAGATTAGTTCTAGTTTGTTGAAGAGTCGCATGCTAGCATGAAACAGCTGTTCAGTGTTCTATGGTTCTAAACTGTACCCCGATTGAGGTTAATCTGTGATAAGTACAAACTATAACTAGATGTCTTTTGAAGCATCATCATTTACATGATATAAGTTCGGCCACTCACATACTAATAAAAATAGAAACCTATGTATATCTCAATTCAACTTCATTCCTAGCAGATCAGAGTCAGATCGATCTATTTCATTCCTTCTATTTTATTATTTACAGTTAGTTAGTTTCATCAAGTCAATCCGTATAGATAGATATGTGTGTTTAAAAATATGTTTTTTGGAAAATGCTATTTATTTTCACTAGAACGATAATAGAGTGCAGAGATATTTCTTTTCAGTAAGTATTTCATAGTGACTTAGCACCAGTATAAATATAATTTACGATAACAGCATAGTACCAATCAAACAGTACTACTATATAATATTTCTGTTTCGCTTGTGAAAATGATGTTTAGTGATTAACGACGCAACTGAATGAAGCACGTTAGCGGCTATCTGAACTTTGTAGTTCAGCGTACATGTTAACATTTGAAGCGAAGGACACTGAATTTGAATCCCAATGTGAATACCACTGGGATGTGGGTATATCCAGCTAAGGCGTTCAAATTAGGACGAAGTGCACGTCGTGGATTCCACTACTAGTCTCAGTTCATCTGTTCTACATAATTAAGGTAATTGTTCGTAAAAAATTGAAAACTTGTGGTTCAGCGGTTGACATATATTACGAAATATCTAATAGTATGATTGGGGAGATATTTTAGCGTGGTAGAATTATTTATAGATACAAAAGTGAGAAAAGTTTAGATAAACAGAATAAATGTTCAAAATCACTTGCTGAATTGTAGTATTATAATGTAAAATTACTTTGCTGCCACTACATTCTTACTACAAATTACGCTTGATGAAAAGCTAATCGACAAAAAAGAATTAATTCACCTCATTGTTTCCATAAATTTCTAAATAGGGATTTTTGCTTTACTTCAGACTATTTATTTTAACACATAGATATTGGTACAAGGAGGCACCAAATACATATGCGCCACACAATTTTCATTTGATATGTATGTGAGCTGTGATACTGCCCGGGTGCCCAGACCGAAGTAGGTGGTTTTCTTAGGGGGCCACACCCCGAGCCTTCGACCTGAAGGTCTGATCCACAAGGCAATGGAGCATCGTAAGGAGATGCAGTCCCATGGTAACCGGTGACCAACGATTGGTTCCATCAGTATCATGGAGCCCATGTTCAACGTTGGTTTGGGATCATGGTTTTCTAACTCCCCTAGGTGGACTCTCCATGTCCACCAACCCGGTTAAAGCGCCGGACATTCGCTTTTCGTCCTCTCAATTTCGTAAACAACACCCCTGGTGCGAGAAGGCAGTGATTAGGACTTCTCTGGCAGTGGCTGTATACACGTGAGAGCATTTCGAGAAAGAGAGCTGGTTCTCCCCACCCTCGGCAGTACCAGGAGATCCTATATATTAGGAAGTATATTTAACTATATTAATCAGTAACTATTTTTCAACTTCCTAGGAGTAGAATAAAATTTAGGTTATACTTAATATTTAGACAAATGTTAATATAATTTATAGTTTTTGTTAGATAATGTGACATATTTTCGTTTGATTCTTTAATTTTTCCATTATAACAGATCACTGGTTTTACCTACTATAAAAATTTTTTAAACGTTCAATCAAGACTACTATTTCCTAAACGAGTTATTCAATTTGGTTCAAAAGTGATTGGTCCAGTGTTAGAAACTCCAGCACCGAAATATATAAATAAACCATTAGGTGCAACACTAGAAGTACAACGTCAAGTTGAATTGGATCGGAGAGAAATAAGTTTAATTGAAGCAACTAGACGTATGCGTAGTAGAGATTTGCCATTCAATATGAGTCGTGTATTGGTCGGTAATCAATAGTGATATTATTTATTTATGAACAGAAATAACTTTTAAAACTGTGATGTTTCATTGTATTTTGTTTGCTTCTGCAACCAATGATTGTTCTATTTTTCAATGACAATATTGTATTAAATGTCAAACACAATTTGGAAATGTCTATTTTTACTAATAAATTATAAACTCAACAAATACACACATGTATCACATCATTTTACCAATAACTCATGTATGCATCACAAAAATTGCTCTTCAACATTATCTTCTGCATTTATTATTGTAAATGTTGAGGTTGTTTTTGTTTATGTATTGTATGTTTGTTGCCTCTCTGTTTCTAATATGCGTTTGACTTTAACGTGTAAAACTTGCAGTTTCAATTCTCTTTATGCATCTTCCGCTCAGCACAAATGCATATTCATCAGTCAAAGTCATCGTGGGACGAGTCGAAATGAATATGCATCAAATTAATCTATCCATTTGACAAGTCTCACTTAAATGTGACTCTCTTTAACGTTCCCAATCAATATACCAATCTTTACTCGTTATTAATTTGACTCACAGTTGATTGGATTTATTGCATTTGTAATAGGTGTATACATGGGATCAATGTATGATCTATTCAGTTTAGACAGAAATAGTATTTCATATGTATCTAGTTTATTGTCGATTACAAAGAAGTATAAGTTAACAGTGGAATTCTCTGTTCAATAATCATTGAGAATCCATTCTTCGTTTTTTGTATACAATGTTATTGCCTTCTCCATTCTCGTTCATTTTAATACCCCTACTCCTCCTTTTGATGTTGCTTCTTAAATTATGACAAGTTAAATTTATGTATTTATCCCACAATGTTTGTTTCATTAACTCATTTTTTCTACATCCTGTTAATCCCGGTTTTCATACATAAAGATTTTCTTTTAGTTTGTATACTTCATAATGGATGTAAAGTATTATCATTTATATGTAGCTACAAGTATACATTATGATTTATTCAGATCAAAATATTCACACAATAACTTGAAGTCGTGTATGTTTGAAACTATTTCTGACTGCCAAGAATAAGTCACTTATAATCCACTTTGATAATTATAAGTAGTTACGCAGAAACATTGCTTGTTGGTTAACGCGCATGAGATTACCGCAACCAGCCAGATTGAAATGCTGTTATATTTTGACACAAATAAAATCGTCAAATTACATTTCATCAAGGATTAGTTAGTTCATAATCGGAAATATATTTAAATTAAAATAGATAAATGGGTAAAAAGCGGATGTAAACAGAAGTTAATTATCAAAAGACCAGGTAAAACTAAACTGTAATGACAGCCTTGAGTGGCTCACAAGCCAATCAGAAAACTTTGGTTATTAAGCAGCTAACAATAATAACTAGTGAAATTACAATGTATAATTAACTTTAATATGATTGATACTCCCTTACATACCAAACTACATTATAGTAAATTAGAGTTTAGGGTTCTAATTACAAGCTGACACCAGCTATAATTAAAGGATCCCTAGTAGCAATAAAAATAAGTAAATATCGTGCATAAGCTTAAGAGGAGCTATCTTAAATTTGATCATTTTGTTCGCACATTATAGTACCACCGTTTTTCTATAAACTTGCGCAGGTAACTTTTGGATACATGATTTGACAGTGATCATCGGAGAAAAAGATCTCATTAGTTTGTAGTGTGGCGTCGAGTCGCGGTTGACTATGATCACCACTACAGGAAGACTACGTGCCAGTTAACCAATAAGATCCCCCGTAGGCCAAATATCAGAAGGTAGTTGATGGCTATAGTCGAGATGTATTTATTGGCGATCTCGTGGTATCGAAAGAATACCGAGATCGTGCCAAAGAAGTACAAGCGGATTTACTGAGCAAACGTAAGTTCGTGCAAGGTCACAATCAACGGGAGGAAGAATAATGAATGTCTTTATTACAGTTAAACCAACAAGTACAGTAGAACAATCACTGGTACAATTGATTATAATAATTGTTTCCATTAAACCAATCGCGTTCTCTTGATAAAAGTAGGTCACTAAAAGTTCATGAATTAATTTGACTGTGTTGTTCTCAATCAGTATCTCAAGACTATTAGATTAAACCTAGCCAAAATTACGCTGGACGTTTTGAAAATATTCTCAGTGTACTAACTAACGTGTGTAAATACTTTTATTATCTTGAGAGACTTTTTAATTACTCTACTTCCAAAATAGTCAGTAATTGTAAGAGATAAATGAGTGAAGGTTGTTAAATACGTTAGTTTGTTTAAAAAAACCGAGCGAAATACATCACAGGAGCTTCAGAACTGATTCAAGGTATATTGTTATTTATCCTAACTAAAATCCATGAAAACATTGTGCTGCAAATCCAAATAGAGCGCAATATTTCAAATACAAAGAATTATAAAACAGCAACCTTCGAATCTGGCACCTTTTATTAGGCAATCCACTAAATGTACAGGAAGAGTTTGTCGTTGTTCAGAGGCCAAAACAAAGATCGATGGGTAGGTAGTTGATAAAAGCGCTATCTCGAGTGTCGAATTCTTCAAACACAGTTAACAATGGGTCAACTGATCAGCAAAGCAGATTCATCAACACATACTAGGAACAAAGCAAGATCCTCAAATACAACACAGAGAATACCGATCAACCAAATCACACATCATGGAGAAAAACTGGAAGAGGTAGAAACGTTCACGTACATGAGAAGCATAATTGAAGAACGTGGAGAATCTGATGCAGACGTAAATGTGAGAATTAGAAAGTAAGGACAGCATTCCTACAGTTGAACAACATGTGGAGCTCAAAACAACTGTCAACAAACATCAAAATCTTTAATATGAACGTCAAGACAGTCCTACTGAACGGAGCTAGAACTTAGAGATCTACCATAATTACCATCAAAACAGTACGAGTATTTATAAACAGTTGTATACACAAGATACTCAATATGCGTTTGTAGCGGTAAATAAATCCCCAAAATAAATAGCACTAAGTTTTCGACATTGGATGCTGACCATATGTTTTAGTGGACTCACCTAGCTGAAGGCGCTCGGTCAGTCATCCGCACCAGATCACGTGTGGTAACGCCGTGCTCAACATCAACCGCAATCGCTAGCCAGATTAGATCAGAGAATTCCGATATATTGGTCATCGCCAAATATACTCTTCCGATCTTCTCGACTCTGTCTTTTGATTTCTCTGGGCGGGAACGAAATATATTAGAAGGTGTTACTGGTAGAAGCGTTGTCAAACACTGAATACCTGTGACATCATCATTGGTGAGCCCGACGTGATGTGGTACACCTAATTGCAACTGTGAGTCTGTTCCTTTTTGGGATTTTTATATATCATTGCCTTATTTTTTTTAACTTTTTTAAACATTGTGATTTTTTTTTCGTGTTTTTTCCTGGATATATATATTTTCCCCTTGTTCATTATCGTACTTCATAATTCATCATGACTGAACAGACACCTAAAGTACTCAAGCTTAAGACTTTGTCCCCGCCTTCGTTTCAACTCATGCCTTTCTGGCCCGACAACATCGAAGCCTGGTTTTGCTACGCAGAAGCCGACTTCTCCGAGCACGGCGTGATCGACACACGTGCACAATTCCTCGCAGTAGTCAAGGCACTACCGCGCGAATTCAACAGGTACGTAACACCTAGTATGTTTACTAGTGATGTTTCCGATCCTTACGAAATCTTAAAACGCTCGATTCTTAAACGAGGAGACCTAACCGATCGACAAAGGTTAGATCAACTCTTCAACAATATCGACCTGCAACACGGTTCTGCGACAGACATGTTGCAACGGATGAGAGAGGTTATAGGCCCAAGAACTTTCGACGAAGGCCTATTCAAACAACTCTTCTTGTCAAAACTTCCCCAACAGGTGCAAGCAGTTCTGGTATCGTTCCAGAACAACGCCTTAGACGAGCTAGCTGCATCTGCCGACCGCATATTAGAAATTACGAAATCTACTACCGAGGTATTTTCAGTCAAAGAAAAACCTCAAACGACTCAGAATGATATAAACGACTTATGTCACACACTCACGCGTTATCTTAGTCTTCGTAACGACCGTAAGAGATCGCGCACACCACGTAGAAGCATTTCTCGTAAGCGATCTGTCTCTAGACCACGAGAGACAGATAACCCCGACTGGTGCTGGTATCATAACCAGTATGGAAAGCTTTCCAGAAATTGCAGAAAACCCTGCAATTTTCCCAACACGAAACCGACTGATTCGAAAAGCAATTCGGGAAACTTCCAAGCCGGCACGCGTTAACGGCAACCGTAGCCGGCGAACAAAGCCGTCTGTTATTCATCACAGATGTGACAACGAGAGTTCGCTACCTCGTCGACACTGGCGCAGAAGTTAGCGTTCTCCCAGCGATTCCTAACGACCGACTACACGAATCGACCCTAAACTTACAGGCGGCAAACGGAAAACCGATCGCTACGTATGGCAAAAGGTACGTTTACCTTAACGTGGGTTTACGCAAACCCATCCACTGGATTTTCGTTGTTGCAGATGTTTCTATGCCAATCATTGGTATGGACCTTCTACAACACCACAATCTGATCATCGACACCCGCAAACGGAGGCTAGTAGACGGAAACACTAATTTGTCCGTTTGCGTAACTTCTTTTACTGGTTGTAGAGTATCCCCAGTCACAGTTAAACATATGATAGACCCACTCTATCAACCACTACTCGATAAGTACCCTGAGATACAACAAACTCAAACGAAACTACCGTGTGTAACCAGCAATGTTACACATCACATCACGACTACAGGACCACCTGTATTTTCTAAAGCACGCCGACTAGCTCCTGAAAAGCTAAGGTTAGCGAAAAACGAATTCGATCACATGATGGACTTAGGAATCATACGACCGTCAAGTAGTCCATATGCATCTCCGTTACACATGGTCCCTAAAAAGGACAGCAACGATTGGCGTCCAACTGGTGACTACCGGCGATTGAACGCGAAAACCATTCCCGATCGTTACCCGTTGCCTCACATTCACGATTTGACAGCTACCTTGAAAGGTACAACTGTCTTTTCGAAAATCGACTTGGTTAAAGCGTATAACCAAATCCCTATGGCTACTGACGACATACCAAAAACAGCTATCATAACTCCTTTCGGACTCTATGAATTTTTGAGAATGCCTTTCGGTCTAAGGAATGCTGCTCAAACATTCCAAAGATTCATAGACGACGTTTTTCGAGGTCTCAACTTCGTACACGCGTATGTTGACGACTGTCTAATCGCAAGTCCGGACAGAGAAACACATCTCAAGCATCTGGATCTTGTTTTCGAACGACTTCAAAAACATGGCATAACTGTAAACGTTCAGAAATGCCAATTCGGAACCGACTCGTTAGACTTCCTAGGACACACTATCGATGCTCAAGGCATTCGACCTCTTAGGACCAAAGTGGCGGCCATTCTGGATTACCCAGAACCGACCACCGTCAAGCAATTACGCACGTTTAACGGCCTGGTAAGTTTCTATAGACGTTTCATACCGAAATGCGCATTACTCATGAAACCTCTAACCGACCAACTTCGTGGAAATGCGAAATCCATTAATTTGGACGACACCGCACGAAAAGCATTCTCCACAGTTAAGGAACTGATTGCTAAAGCAACAATGCTCGCACATCAGGACACCCGAGCACCCATTAGCATCGCAGTAGACGCATCCGACTCGGCAATCGGAGGAGTCTTACAACAATGGGTTAACAACTCCTGGCAACCCTTGGCATTTTTCTCTAGACGGTTGCTAGACACCGAATCGAGGTACAGCACATTCGGTAGGGAACTCCTAGCTATGTATTGTGCTGTACGGCATTTCCAACACTACATCGAAGGTCGTGAATTCACTCTTTTTACGGATCATAAACCGCTTACTTTCTCGTTAAGCTCTCCTTCTGACAAGTACTCTCCCCGTGAGTCTCGACAACTGGACTACATTTCGCAGTTTACTTCAGATATTCAACACGTCTCTGGAGCAAACAATGTAGTTGCAGACGCTTTATCTCGTATAACTTCCTTGAACAGTTTCCAAGGAATCGACCTTCTTAAACTCGCCGAGCTTCAAAAAGAAGACACTGATCTTCAGCACGAGTTATCGTCCACAACACTTAAACTACGCATCAAACAGATGGGAACAGGTAAGGAAACCTTACTTTGTGACACATCTACAGGTAGGGATCGCCCAATCGTGCCGAAACATTATCGACGCAATGTCTTCAACACATTGCACAAACTTTCGCATCCAGGTGTTCGTGCAACCATCAAGCTTATAGCAGAAAGGTTTTGCTGGCCTGGAATGAATAAAGACGTGAGGGAGTGGGCACGCTCCTGTGTAAGCTGCCAAAAATCTAAGGTTATCAGACACAACAAATGTCCCTTAGGCTCGTTTAAAACTCCCGATGCTCGTTTCGACCATGTTCATCTGGATTTGGTAGGACCTTTACCAGATTCAAATGGATACTCTTATCTCCTAACCTGCGTAGACCGTTTCACTCGATGGCCAGAAGCAGTACCTATCAAGGACATCACTGCTGAAACAGTGGCTCGCACCTTCGTCGAACGATGGGTAGCAAACTTCGGCTGCCCTTCAACCATCACTACAGACCGCGGACGTCAATTTGAATCTGATCTTTTCCGTCGTCTGACCACTCTTTTAGGAAGCACTCGCTTCCGAACGACCGCCTACCATCCACAAGCAAACGGGTTGGTAGAACGTTTTCACCGACAACTGAAAGCTTCGCTATCAGCTACAAACGTTTCACAGTGGACCGACGCTCTTCCACTCGTCTTACTAGGTATCCGCAATGCAGTGAAAGCTGACATTGGATACACTGCGTCTCAACTCGTTTATGGTACGACACTTCGACTTCCAGGAGAATTCGTGGATCCTTCATCCTCTTCAATGAACATGGATCTAACCTCCTACACGAACAGGCTTACAAACGCAATGCGTTCAGTTAAACCTGCTTCCACCCGACCTCAATCGACTGATGTTTTCGTTCAACCTGACTTACGATATAGTACACACGTTTTCGTTCGTCGAGACTCGCATCGACGACCCTTCGAATCAGCATACGAAGGACCCTTCAAAGTTCTTCAACGTGAATCTAAGTACTATATAGTCGATAAGAACGGAACCAACGATAGCATCAGTATCGATCGCTTAAAAGCAGCGTATTTAGAAGGAAATCCTATCTACGTGGATTTTCCTTCGGTACAATTGAACGACACGACTCCGACACTTATAATACCTCATCCGACAACCAACACACACGATGATACTTCGACAGTATCCGAAAATAAACTTAAAACGACGCGTTCTGGAAGAAGGGTGAGATTTCCAGAACATCTAAACGACTATTGCACGTAAGGCACTTCTCGACATTTTATATTATTTTTAAAAAAAAAAAACAATTTTAATATGCTTATATATTTTTATTTCTATTTAAAAAAAAAACAAAACAAAAAAACAATTTTTTTAACGCTATTACGTGTTCATGAGTTTATTTTCCATTTTTTTTTCCGCCGACATTGTGCTTTGACGCACATACGAGTGTATTTCGACATGCACTTACATTTTCTTTTTTCTTTTCCAGGACGGCTGGAAAAGAACGATGACGTTTATGAGGATCCGAAATTTTCCATGTACATTTTCTTTTTTTACTATGTTGTACCTCCGTCCCATATAGTAAGGAAAGACGACCAGACGCTGCTAAATTTAGTAAGCTATCAGAAGAGTGTTTACCAACGACAAACTCGTTGGGTTTAAACTTCTGGCTGGCCACGTCTTAGGGTCGTCACTGCCCCACTAGGGGGGGAGTGATCTGTAGCGGTAAATAAATCCCCAAAATAAATAGCACTAAGTTTTCGACATTGGATGCTGACCATATGTTTTAGTGGACTCACCTAGCTGAAGGCGCTCGGTCAGTCATCCGCACCAGATCACGTGTGGTAACGCCGTGCTCAACATCAACCGCAATCGCTAGCCAGATTAGATCAGAGAATTCCGATATATTGGTCATCGCCAAATATACTCTTCCGATCTTCTCGACTCTGTCTTTTGATTTCTCTGGGCGGGAACGAAATATATTAGAAGGTGTTACTGGTAGAAGCGTTGTCAAACACTGAATACCTGTGACATCATCACGTTGGTCGGATACTATCAGCAACAGCCTACTGTGGGGGAGAATGTATCGATAAATAAATCCCCAAAATAAATAGCTCTTTGGGTTTTCGACGTTGGATACTGACCACATTAGTTTGAATGGACTCACCTAGCTGGAGGCACTCGGTCATGCAACCGCAAAAGTTCACGAGTGGGAACGCCGTGCTCAACATCCTCTGTAATCGCTAGCCAGATTAGATCAGACGATCCTTGATATATATATAACCTATCAAATATATCTTCGAACCTCCTCACTTCTGTTTTTTTTTATTTTACTTGGTGGGTATGATTCGTATTATGAGGTGTTACTAGTTAAAGCGTTGTCAAACTCCGAATACCTGTGGCATCTTCAAGAGCAAACCAGCTTCCAGCTGAAAAGGAAATAAGAAAAAGACGCTGTATGTAGACATCCACCTGACTGGAAACGGAAAAGAGGAAGACCAAGTAACATATTGTGTCGATATTTCAAAGCAGACATCAGAAGAATGAGCAGCAACTGAAAACAACTATAAAAGGTTGTCCAGGACAGAGTTTGATTGAGAATACTGATGAGTGGCCTATACTTCTCCGTGAGTATTAATAAGAGGAAGGAAGTAAATACTCCTAACAACACTGCAACAATTTCAGATGCACTCAAGGCCGCCTGCCGTTTCATTTCCACGACCTTGGAAGGCCTAAAATTAGTCACCCATTCCATAGTTCATTTGCTGTGTGTTTGTTGAGTATATGTTTGGCTAAACGGAGCAAAAGGTGGCAATTACCATTTAGTCTCAACAAGTGCGGGATCATACATTTTGGAAAACATCCCTACGATTTACAACTTTACTTAAATAAAAGTAGGGTCCCAACACACAGATCAGTGCACGATCTTGCTATTACTTACACAGGAACCCTAAATTTGAAGAACATGCCTCGTCTATTATTCCTAAATATAAACAGCTAGTTTGTTTCATAATAAAAAATTTGTTTACAAAAATGTCTAGGCTCATTCTTCACAAAATACGCATACGACCCTCCCTTGAATATTGCTCTTTCGTCTTCTCAAACATGAATACCACAGTCAATATAAGAGTAGATGTCAAAGGACGCTTCATACGCCGACTGCTAGGATGTGACTCCATTGTCAACTACAAAGATAGATGTAAGCACCTCTTCTTAGAACCTTTACGGTACTATCTAATATTTCTCTACAAAGCAATACATGGACTCTCATTTGTAACCTCCTGTCCAACCATGATCTACAACTCAGTCTAAAGACTCAAAAGCAACGTGTAGAATTATGGTCTACTATGATATTAGTACTGCTCTAATAATAGATCTCGTCCTAGTGTAGCGGTTGTTGCGGGAGAACTGAAGACATTGGGCTGATAAAAGTCTTTATTTCAAATATTATTAATTCACTGTGTTTTGGGATGTAATTGTTTTACTGAACTCTTGGACGTGTTTGTTTATATCACTATATTTGAACATTTTGGTGCTCTCTTTGTCTTTGCTTTGTTAATTGGGAGTTTTTGCTCCGGGAAGCTACAAAATTGAAGAACGAATTTTGGTCGATTATTTGTGAATTGCGGAATGCGCGTTACTCATGAAACCTCTTGCCGATCAACTTCGAGGAAATGCGAAATCCATTAACTTGGACGACACCGCACGAAAAGCATTCTCCACGATTAAGGAACTCATCGCTAAAGCAACAATGCTCGCACATCAGGACACTCAAGCACCCATTGGTATCGCAGTAGACGCATCGGACTCGGCAATCGGAGGAGTCTTACAACAATGGGTTAACAACTCCTGGCAACCCTTAGCATTTTTCTCTAGACGGTTGCTAGACACCGAATCAAGGTACAGCACATTCGGTAGGGAACTCCTAGCTATGTATTGTGCTGTACGACATTTCCAACACTACATCGAAGGTCGTGAATTCACTCTTTTCACTGACCATAAACCACTCACTTCCTCGTTAATCTCGCCTCCAGACAAGTACTCTCCCCGTGAGTCTCGACAACTGGACTACATTTCGCAGTTTACTTCAGATATTCAACACATCTCTGGAGCAAACAATGTAGTTGCAGACGCCTTATCTCGCATAACTTCCTTGAACAGTTTCCAAAGAATCGACCTTCTTAAACTCGCCCAGCTTCAAAAAGAAGACACTGATCTTCAGCACGAGTTATCGTCCACAACCCTTAAACTCCGCACCATACAGATGGGAACAGGTAGGGAAACTTTACTTTGTGACACATCTACAGGTAGGGATCGCCCAATCGTGCCGAAACATCATCGACGCAATGTCTTCAATACATTGCACAAACTTTCTCATCCAGGTGTTCGTGCAACCATCAAGCTTATAGCAGAACGGTTTTGCTGGCCTGGCATGAATAAAGACGTGAGGGAGTGGGCACGCTCCTGTGCAAGCTGCTAAAAATCTAAGGTTATCAGACACAATAAATGTCCCTTAGGCTCATTTAAAACTCCGGATGCTCGTTTCGACCATGTTCATCTGGATTTGGTAGGACCTTTACCAGATTCAAATGGATACTCTTGTCTCTTAACCTGTGTAGACCGTTCCACTCGATGGCCAGAAGCAGTACCTATCAAGGACATCACAGCTGAAACAGTGGCCCGCACCTTCGTCGAACGATGGATAGCAAACTTCGGTTGCCCTTCAACCATCACCACAGACCGCGGACGTCAGTTTGAATCCGATCTTTTCCGTCGTCTGACCGCACTATTAGGAAGCACTCGCTTCCGAACGACCGCCTACCATCCACAAGCAAACGGGTTGGTAGAACGTTTTCACCGACAACTAAAAGCTTCACTATCAGCTGCAAACGTTTCACAGTGGACCGGCGCTCTCCCACTCGTCTTACTAGGTATCCGCAATGCAGTGAAAGCTGACATTGGATACACTGCGGCTCAACTCGTTTATGGTACGACACTTCGACTTCCAGGAGAATTCGTGGATACTTCATCCTCTTCAATGAACATGGATCTAACCTCCTACACGAACAGGCTTACAAACGCAATGCGTTCAGTTAAACGTGCTTCCACTCGACCACAATCAACCGATGTTTTCGTTCAACCTGACTTACGATATAGTACACACGTCTTCGTTCGTCGAGACTCGCATCAACGACCATTCGAATCAGCATACGAAGGACCATTCAAAGTTCTTCAACGTGAATCTAAGTACTACATAGTCGATAAGAACGGAACAAACGTTAGCATCAGCATCGATCGCTTAAAAGCAGCGTATTTAGAAGAAAATCCTATTCACGTCGACTTTCCTTCGGTACAATCGCACAACACGACTCCTACACTCATAGTTCCTCAACCGACAACCAACACTAGCGATGATACTCCGAATGTATCTGAAAATAAACCTAAAACGACGCGTTCTGGAAGGAGAGTAAGATTTTCAGAACATTTAAACGACTATTGCACGTAAAGCACTACTCGACATTTTATATTATCTCGATCTTTCTTTTTACGATATATGATATTTTAAAAAAAAAACAATTTTAATATGCTTATATATTCATATTTTTATTTAAAAATACAAAACGAAAAAACATTATAAAAATCCTTTTTTTAACGATATTATCTGTATATGAGTTCATTTTTCTTTTTTTTTCGCCCTCATCGTGTTTTTACACACGTACGAGTGTATTTCGACATGCACTTACATTTTCTTGTTTGCTTTTCTAGGACGGCTGGAAAAGAACGATGAAGCTTACGAGGAGCCGAAATTTTCATCGTGCTTTTTCTTTTTTTTACTATACTGTACTTCACGGTCCTATATAGTAAGGAAAGACGTCCAGACGCTGCTAAACCTAGCAAGTACGTGGTCTTAAAATCATGACTCACTGTTACACACAAGTTCCTCGTGAAACCGGAACTCGAGTACAGACACTTCCCCGCTTTGTTGTGCCTATTTACCTTTGCATCCACAAAGTGTATGTGGGCACATTTTGCCGCGTCGTTAGACATCAGCCACTCTTTAGACCAGTTAATCACAATCCGTTCCACTCTTCGCCGATGACACACAGATTTGGAGACCCATACATTGTATGTCAGGTCGAATAGTATTATAGAATAATCTCAAATCACCTGTGACATGGATGGACGGATAGTCCATAGAAGTGAAGTCTAACAAGTACAAGATGATGCAATTAAATGACTATGAGGATTCATATCACTACACAATGAGTGGAGTAATGTTACCCAAAGTAATGAACTATAAAGATTAAAGAGCCATAATAAGCAGGAACCACAAAAACTACGAGTAACTGTGAGGCTGCTACTGCAAGAGGCTACATGGTTTTATGGGCTATTCGCAAGTCTTTTCAGTGTTCAGATGAAGATTAATATACCTGACATTCGTGAAACCGAATTCGGATTATTGGATTAAAGCAGCGAGTCCTTGTTTCAAGTATAAGGCGGATATGCTGTAACAAGTCCAACGACGAGTGACTAAAACGGCAAAAGGTCTTTCAAGCCTATCTTATGAAGACAAACTGAGATACATCAAATTATTTCCGTTATCTTACCGTAGAATATATGGTGATCTAACATTGGCTTATCGTATACTGAACGATGACCTTGATATTAATATGTCTAATCCTTCCCTTCCCTTTAGAACTGATCAGTTGAGAGGATATTCTAAAAAAGCTTAAAAAACCAAGATCAAATCGTTTACGTCTGGACTTTCGTTTCTCAAACCGAGTAGTGAATTACCGGAATTCTCTACCAGAAGACGTAATATCAACACCTTCTGTTGGTGTATTCAAACAAAACTGGACCTCCGCAATGTTACAAACTGCAAAGGTTAATATAGGTCGACAGACCTCCTATCCTTATTACTGAAGACTGAAGTGGTCGATGTCTAATCCCAGTAGACTTTCGTCAAGGTCAAAGAAATAATAAAACTGTACGTTACTTTCATGCTTATTTTGTGGAACGCTTCTGCGGTATTTTGCCTATAATAAATGCGAAATATTTACTTATTTTACAGGCATCAAAATTTAAAGTAGCCTCAAGAGACCTTTTTAGCTTGCGATTAATAAGGTGCACAAGGAACTTTCAGTACGGTCCAAAACTTAAAGCTAACATGTAAGGAGTACTGCGTATTTATCAGCGATAATAAGTCTCATTTATTTGTCAAAGCTATCTGGGCCTTTGGGACCCTTTTTTACAGAAGAGTCTTGGATTTAATGCGTAGTGGAATTAACAGGAACTTTGAGCTGATTCAAGTAATCGGAATGTCAGGCTGACTAGTTGATTTATATAAGAATTTAGCTTTGAACGTTAACCGCGACAATCATTAGCATTCACCGGATATGACTACTGTCCCACGTTTTGGAGCAGAAAGTAACAGTATTATTGTATGTCCAAACTGTTTCAGAAAAACCAACCGACTTAGCGTAATCCAACTTCATTTCAGGATCTTGACGATAATATTTTTTGAAGAATAATAAACTGAAACCTGGACAGCCAAATTACGGTTGATGAGTTCACTCCCATGTAATGCCATTCTGTTTCTACATTGTTTTCTCCAGTCAGTAAACATGTTTAAGTGGAATGTAGGCTTCCTACCTTACTTTTTGCGTAGATATCTAATAAAGTAGGGGACTATGGAATGTATCTTATCAAGCAGTAAGTCTCATCCATAAACACTTCTATACGTTCTGGTGAACTCACTATTCTAGGAAACATAAAACGACATATTCAGGTAGGTTTTCATAATACATAGGCTTTAACGTTCTAGGGATTAACTTTTTTTCAGTTTTTTAAACTGGATCCATAGCCTACTGTCGTAGACGGGGCTGGCTGCTTTGTTACGGCACTTACGTCGTTAAAAGGTACTTACTGTACATTAAAGTAAATGAATACGTCATGTATTCTCTAAAGAGTCCCATAATCCTGTAGCTTCCAATTTTCGTCAGTTCTAGCATGTTATGTCCAACCACAGAATCCAGGGTCTGAATCAAAAAGGTATTACAAGATGCTAGGCTGTTAGAGTATCTGCAAATGTAACTCACCTACCATTGTGGGTCTGTTTCTCAAACCAAAAATTCATATTGCTGTGTACTTAGTCCTTCTGTTTGACTTCCCCAATTTGAGTGATAGGAACAAAAGTAACCCATATCTCGTTAGTTTCAAGTCAAGTACCAACAGTTTAATTATATCTCAAGGCAGAGTACTCTTGTACTTGGTCACTAAGTTGTGCTAGCTATCGCCGATTTAATAGCATCTTCTCATAACAGGTCTCCACCGTTCTTATGGTCAGAAAACAAAAAAAATTACTGAAACAGCAATCAACTTATGATTATAACAATGGTTTGTATTTTTTCAAACCATAAAACTTAATATTTTGAGTTATCTGTTAGTAATATCCTAAAAATCTCTCGTTACTAGTCATTATTTCCACATCTGTTAACGGTGTATACTATTATGCAAATGTACTGACTATTACTTATCGATAATACCCTAACCTTCTAAATTCTGTCTCTTTATTATATTTGCATTAAACTACTATATATTTCCCATTGTATTTCCCGTCCATTAAAATGTATCTAATATTTTTTGGCACAAATAAAGTTCTTTACATCCATTAACTCATCTAAAATAGGCTTTTCAAGATTATCTGTCATCAGCTTTAAAGCAGTTCATTTTGACTCGGTCGTATACAACATAGGACTTAGCACAAATAAGCAGTGGCTTTAGATTCCGTACTATATCATCACGGTGAGACAGAGTTGGCAAGATGAATCCCAAAGGGGTTCTAATAATAATACTAGTATTAGTGGTAGCAAGAAAGGTTAGACACTGGCGAGTACGATTTAAAAAGAAGGGATAAACTTGAGACGTAAGAAAGAGAGAACCTCGACTAGATGATCTGCATCTATCTAAATGGGCTAGTCCAATAATGAATGACTATCTAGATTGGTACCATGTCTTGGTTTGGCCATCTTTAGTTTTCTCCCAACCCATTCTTACCCTAGCCCACATTTTGCAGTGAAATAGTCGGTGGTTGGCCTACACAACAAGTACTCAAGCTAGCCCAACATATTTGTCATCACTGTTTAGTGATCTGTCCCTAAACTCATTACTTTCAATTCATTTTTATCACAAAATGCGATTAATTCTTCGAAAAGCATTTAAATTTTCAAAGCGAGAGCAAATTGACTTATTTTTTGCAGAGATGGATTAATTAATCTAAAGACTGATACACAAAAATCCACTTATCATATCTATTTTTATTATGTTTGTGGTCGACCAACTTTTCAATTATGTACAAGTCGGCCCATTCTCTTTACCACCGAATGATGTTAATCTTTGTTCTTTTTATCTTACTCAGATGTCGTTTCGTGACTCAGTAGATTATGTGTCCCAAGATCGTATCAGTCAACTTGCTCGTACTTATTGGATTACAACACCAGGGTCATTAAAAAATAGCCATTCATCAGCATGTCCAACAAACAAATACAAACCTTTTCAATCAAGTGTGATGGAACGGATTTATCGTCAGGAATTGCTGGCCTCTGGATTTTCACATCGCCGATGTCTAGCTCTTGAATTGAATCAGTACTTAGAGCAATGGCTTTGGCCACATTTTGAACCAGATATTAGCAGCCGTGCCCATGTTTTATCAATCTGTGCAATGGTTAATGAAAAAGCCCGTGGTCGTGTCCCGATATGGCCGGTTAGTGTAACAATTTTTATAAACAAGGCTGTCTGCGAACTATCCCAAATGATCAGTTTTACCGTATATATATATAGTTGAAGCGGTAATGTCGAAATATTGTTTTGCAATATGTCAAACAGATCCTTCAGCATTTCGTATTACCATAGAACAATTAGTCTTGTTGTGTCTAGAGTAAAACTACAAAAGGGAACCGCAACCTTATTTTGATATTTAATGACCAAATCAGTTGCAGTATGGACAACTGTAAATTAGCTTTTATATGGTAGCTAATGAGCATATGAACTAAGTTTGAATCAAAGTCTGGTATCAGATGGGAAATCATTGAAAACTAGGGTGCACTAGACAGATATTTTTTCTCTACATGGAACTCTCTAGCAGTAGGTACACCCTTAAACAACTTGCCAGGAGTCAAACCCTGGGCTGAAATCTTGTTGTCCTTATTTCAAACCTCATTCAATTTAGAATCCTACGTTACTGTGATCCACTGCCGTCAGTAATAAGTATCTCACTCTCGAAAGGCTTAAACTCCACTACTCATTACTTGGCGAATCCATTTTAAAGCCAAGGATATGATTATTAATGTTATAAAGTTATGGGGTTCATTATGCAGAATATTTATTGAGAAACCAGTTTTCACCATGCTAAAGTATGTTTAAATTGACGTGTATACTTATGTTGAATGTTTTGCACACCATTTATTTTGATCTGATGAGCTATGTAGTATAAGTTATCCTTATCCAATGTGCATAGTCCACCCTTAAACAAGTACATCTGTACAAAACTAATTTACATTTCATAATTTTACTAGGCAAATGAAGTATTTACTAATTAGGTATAGTTTTTAATATTCAATTTTCAATGAAACTATAAAACTGTTTATCTCGATTAGAGCTTGCGTAAATTTGTCTAAAATAATGTTTCTAAAACTTTAGTTTATAACTAATATTCGCAAAATAAATAACAAAAATAAATGGAAAGAACTAGTAAGATTTTAAGAACCTCATTATATTTGGATGGACATTTCATACATTCTTTATATGGAATAGTTGTGTTACTATCTGGGACCAAGTAGTTAGAACTTTTTCCTTTGTCTAAGACTGAACTAATTACATATCACTAGTTAAACTTAAAAAGTGAGACTAAACATTACGATGTTATTTGAGTGCGTCTATTAGAAATAGGTGTCTGTTACTCAAAAATGAATTTACGAATTCGAACCGCAAACTGATTTCTAGTGTTTCTCTATTGAGTTCCACTGCTATAATTTGCCATAGACTAAATGTAACTCCATCTACCCGAGTACAAGTCAGTGTATTTGATTTTGAGCTATACTGTTTGTATGAGACTGTTAGTGATACCAGTGGCTCCGAATGTTGTAAATGGAGCGTGGTTTGAACCAGAAATCTACTAGCTGGAAAATAAATCTTTTGACCACTAAGTCACCTCTGATGGTTTAAGTGCCACCTTTTTTAATTAGTTTAGCCAAATTTTCATACTACATCAACAACGTCAAACAGAAATGCATCGTGAAACAAGAAGTATTAATCAATATTCTCTCGGTTTATAAATATAACCTCAAAACTGGATTATGAGTAAAGCAACTTTTCATAGGTATATTTGAGTAATACTGTCCTAAGACCTAACAAAGTGTTATGACTTTCGAAACTCCGCCAGACCTTTCTTGGTGTCGATAACTGTCCTTATACTACTTAGTCGTATTTCAAAACTAGTTAGTTACTAAATACAACTAATAATTCTAAAGTTAGTAGTTCCAAAACATCAGTTAAGTAATAAACTAATTATCGGAGGCAACTGCTTTTATTCGTTTCCTAGAATTGAGTGAGAAACATGTCGAACTGACATACTAACTTAAAAGCCTTGAAATAATAATATTCTTTCAAGTAATCAGTGTTAGCATATATCTGTATTATTTTGGTTACTGTTATGTTTCTTTTTCCTCTGAATATTCTAGACTTTTGTAGCTACAGCGGATAAATTTAGTGGACTTATTCATCGTGTACTGCATATTCTACTTGATGAATCTCCACAGATATTAACGGTTAATCCACTACTCACTGAGATCAACACAAAGTCTAAAGATGATGATAATGATGAGAAAGACAAACACCAAACGTCTGACGAATCATCAAATCCAGTACAACAGAAAAAATGTATTCTGGAGCATATAGTTCTTATTATTTTCTTATCACATTGTTTTACGAATTTGGCTGAAGTTGGTGTATTACGACGTAGTCTTCGTGAATTATATAGTTTAGCTATTTGGCAAGATCATCTTCAACCGACTCGTTTAAGTCTTGAACTAAAATCACATCCACGATATGCTCGCTTATTAAAAAAACTACAGAAATATCGTGATACAAAAGTTTCCCCCACTGAACGAGATAATATGGTATTTCAACATTCATTTATTCCACGAATTTTGGATGTGTTTTTAACTTTGTTAAATTCAATACCTGAAAAGGATGAAGATAAGGTATGTAACTATTGATTTTCGATTTAGCCTCTGATTTTTGAAAAGCAAAAGTAACTAACATTGTGAAAGGAATTGGATTAAATTTGTTTCGTGTGCATTTAATTTCCAACATACGAGCTGGAGTAGGTTAGAAGAGAGCTGATGGTGTCCAAACTAGGACATCAAGTCATGAATCTGTTGACTGTTAGTCTGAACCAAGTTGGTAAGTGCAAACTACGAAATCGGAATCCATGTGACGATTGTGATCAATGGTTGAACATATTAGGTAAAATATTTCAAAATTGGTCTCAATGGCGCTGCTCTATTCATTTTCTATCTTGCCCTAGATATTGAGTCTTAATATTACCCATACTTTGTATGCCATCACTACATTTGTTCTTTTTGTGCCATATTGTTTATGTGTGCTTTTTCTTACTGTCATTGAAATTACTATCCCGACTCACTTATTATCCATCTTGTTAACTTCACCTCGCCTTGCTGTTATGGTATAATAACTTGGACTGATGCATATTTGTGCTAACTCCCAATTTGATTCATACTAACTGGTCGAATGAACAGTATCATTAATCAAAAGTAACAATAAATTACAAAATAGGTAAAGTACTTTGGTAAGCTTATCAAACAGTCATCATTTCAGAAATTGATGTAATTATTCGATGCAAGGTCAGTTTTTCATTCACATCACGAGGTTTTCCTAAATAACAAATGGTTCTCTTCAATTCACGCAGTTGATCTTATTTCAACAGAATACTAAATACCCTATTGGTTGACTATCATGTCGGTTGTTTTTCCCTCTTTCTTTGAGGAGTATTGTGTTTCCAAGCATTGACTTCAATAAGCATATGGTGTACTACTCATTCGATCCTATAGAAACGAACTATTTCGTTTAATAAATATACTTATGTTCGTAGTATACATTAAACCAGTAGCATGATTTTCACAGTACATTTATGAGAGTTCTTTACACGAATTAGTGCGCAAATAGTAACTAGAGTAAATAGTTTATACGTCTTTTGATTTTATTCTTTTGATCAAAAACAACACATCACTATCACTGAATAAGGTGAGGAAACATTGCAACAAACTTTCTTGAAGTAATTCACAGAAAACTCGTACTTGCCGAAACTTGTCAGTCAAGCTGGTGTCAAATATGAAGAGCCTTTTTTCACCATGAGTAGATCTTTCATTGTGGTGGTAGGCTAGGCATTTAAGTGAGCCACTAGACAGTTAATAAAGCTAGTTGTTTATTTAAATATATTTCTCAGTGATGACTAGTTGTGGGTTTAAACGGCGTGAGACCTAACATTTGTGGAGTATAAGTCACTTCTATGGTTACTAGCTCGTCTCTTTTCAATGCCTACTGGTATGCACAAAATTTAGGTTCAAGTTTTTGGACAGTTTCTAAAATATAAAACAGAATCTTTTGTCGTGTAAAGTATCATACAACCATACTGAATTATTTTAATTTCCTCTCCTTTTCTTCTAATTAAAGCCTATAGAACCTTTGTTGATTCACTACTTAGAACGTTTCATTTTATTGTTAATCGATTTGGAAAGTATGCTGCTTACACGTCGAATACTAAATGTTGTTCTCGACGACAGACACATTGTTGTATATTGTCAGAAATCTGCACTTATCAAACGTCCAGATGGGAAGTTATTTTCAGAACTAGTTGATTTGTTAGCCTTTTACGCTCATTTTCATATTGATGAAAGTACTGGCGAACCATTGGATGAAGCGGAAATGGATAAAAGGTAAGTGTTTAAAAAAATCCTTCCCACGAGTAAGTCACAGCACTAAGTTTTATTTATTGACTCAATGTCCATGCAAACACAGAACTCTAATTTCATTTGCGATGGTTTGAGTTATCCTGTTATCGATATTTTGACTGAAATTTGACCAATCTTGCTTAGCGTATATCCATCCTGTGCCGATTGCCTCAATTTAGCCATTATGACACAAGTTTATACAGAACATATGAAATGAGGCTTTCAGTTGACTCCATGACATGCATTTCGTGACATATGGAACTCGGCAGCTGGATGTACCATTGCAAATTGAGTTAAAATTCATACATGCTGTACAAGTGAGTGGCTCAGTAGCTAAGTGGATAAAGTATTGTCGTTTGATGTCAATAATGCTGGGTCAGAGTTCTTGAGTGGACGTCAACCCTGCGATGCAGGTATATCCAGCTGATACATCCCAAATAGGATGAAACGTGAATCCTCTATTCTACTGTTGGATACATTCCATCTACTCTATACGGATATCTAATGTTTGTATAAATAGATTCTGAAATGTAGTTTCATTGGAGCACTCGCCCAGTAGTTAGGGTATTTAATTTTCACGTTCAAACCCCCTCCATTTACTTCGATTCATTCAGCGAGATAGTATTAGTAGTGTGACTAGGTACATGTATCTGTATCTAGTAAATGAGTCGATAATAATATCATTTATTAATATATTACAGTGAAACAGTTATCAAGAATTACACTACTCATTACTATTAAACGTTTTTTTCCCTAATGAAAGTTCTATAATTTCATTTATTATTTGTTTTGAAAAAAACTTCTATCATTCATTTATTTGTAGACACTGTGCTAAGCTAAGTAATTTACAATTGAAAACATTTGCATCGCATAAAGATAAACTTCTACCATTCTCTGTCTCACATCCTGCGGGAATTGAAACTGCACAATTATTACGTAAACATTTATCAGTGTTAGACAGAGATCAACTTTATCAACTAGCTTCATGTTTTGGTCTTGTTACATTGAAAAAAGAATCTAGTCAAAATAATGAAGAAAATAAGATTGATGATGATAATGATGGTCAATTACCACCTGCAAAACGAATTCGTTCAAATGATCAAGATATAGAAGAGTTTAATTTAAGCTGTCTTAGAGATAAATTGGAAGCTAAATTTATGGATAAAGATTTGATAATTCGAGTAAGTGCACATTATTAAATAACTTGTGTGTATAATAGAACCTACCTGTACATACACACTGAGCTACTAAGTTTTTTTAGTGAACTTAATGTAATATCTTCGTTCCTACTGCTTATATTTGGAAATAAAAACTACTGTAATTCGCAAGACGCAAAATGAGAACAAGAAAACTGGTAGAATGAAGGTTTATTAACTCTTCAAAACATAACGTTGTTAAAGCAAACACATTCATTTGTATGCTGATTTTACAAACACTTGATGATTAGTTGATGAGCGTCATATAAGTGAACAGAAAGGTAATATCCTCAGACTATCAGCGTCTGCTGCGAAGCTGCCTTCCCATAACAGACTGGGTGGGTTACTAAAAGTCAATCCTAGAAATAACATCCCTCACTTTCCCTTACGGATTTCCGATTTTCAAGTCTGTCAAGAAGGAACATCCTTTCATAATGCAGTCAACTGGGAAGTAAAAACTGTCTTCATACCCTCTAATAACACTCAAGATCATAAATCACGGATTATAAATGATTACGCAGAATAAATTGCCGAGAATTACTATTTTTTTCTACGGACAATAAACGGCTCGATAGTATTTTTAAAAAAACGATTTTACATTCTCCGAAGTACTTAGTTAATTTTTTTTCATTCTTGACTTCTTTCTGTCCGTTTACAGATTTTAATTCATCATTTTGCTCGTCGTCAATCTGAATTGGAATATATCAACAGTTTATCATTATATCCTACGGAAGATTTAATTTGGGATGAGAATCGCGTCCCAACGGAATACTATTCTGGTGAAAATTGTTTAGCATTACCAAAATTAGGCTTACAATTTTTAACTTTACAAGATTACTTACTAAGAAATTTCAATTTATTTCGTTTAGAGTCAACTTATGAAATCCGACAAGTTAGTTCCATTACAAATTATTATGAATATTTGTTCATTTCATACTATCTGTCTTTCTATCTATTTATTGTACAATAGTCAATTAATGGTGTACTATTCGTATTTTCAACCATTATTTCATCACTTACTTCGATCTAGGGAATCAGATGGTAGTAGCAGTTTCTTTCAACTTCACGAACTAACCCTACTTACAAATAAAAATAAGAATAATATATTTGTAATATCCCAATGAGTAGAAAATTAGATTTTCTGATCAATCTTGATCAAATATTATTCTTGCATTGTTCCGTTGTACTATTTAAACTTGGATTAATTTTAATTTGGTTATTTATTCTCTGAAGAAGTGACTTACACTAAGTCACGAAACGTCAGAAAATCTAATTTTCTACTCATTGGGATATTACAAATATATTATTTTTATTTATAACAATCAACCCAATGCTCAATTTATTCGAAATTATCAAAACCCTACTTAGACTACCACTGCAAATTAAAAAAACATAGGGCATCTGTTTTACCTTAATATACGACTCCTCAGCAGTGTACATTCATGACTACATTGGTCCAAGTTACTGCACTTAAACATTATATTGTTTAAGGAACCAATTCAGAGACAAATTCGACGTTAATAGTAGTAACAAAAATGAAATGAATAAAAATATGCTAATTCTTAGGAAGGCGAATGGGTAGGTACGGGTAGATAACATGCCCAATCTTTGCTTAGTATGAAAGCTAAATGCATCATACCCCACTCTTATTTATGTTTTTCTTAACATTCCAGCTGTACGTTTTTGCTGTCTTACGAACCATCTGAGTTATGAGGCGTATAGTTTTTCAAACGATTCAATGTCGTGCTCATATGCTACATCTTGGACTAGTTATATTAAACCGTTTTCATTTTTCTACTATTACTCATACTCGAACTAAGCTTTCTTACACTTAACGTCAAGGCACACCCCTTTTGTAATTCCAACCCTTGTTTTTTATTGTTTTAGTGATGTGAATACAATATTTTAGGTAACTTCTTGTTAAGAACTTGCAGTGTATACAATTTATTTTTCCACTGATATCGATTTTCGTCTTGAAATGTCTTCTCATTCATAAGGAGTCACTAAATTTAAGTAACCATCACTTCTGTTGTTTATTTCAATATGCGTCATCGTTCGTACGTGTGTTCCTTCTATTTTTAGGATATTGAAGATGCTATTATTCGTTTGAAAGCATGGCGTGGTGAATTTGATCAAGCCGTCTTTGATGGTTGGTCAAGAATGGCTTTACCAATACAAGCATTTAATATTGTTGAAGTAGCTAAACCAGATTTAGGTGCAAAACATCCAGCACGTGTACGTGCTGATGTACGTGTAGCGCTTGCTGGTCTTCGTCCAGAGATTCGTAAAGAATGGCTTGGTTTACGACGTCATGACCCAGTGTTTCTAGTAACAATACGACCTACTAAACAACAAGGATGGAAGTATGTTTGTCTCCTCCCTCTTTCTATGACAATTTTATTTCATTATCAACAATAGGATTTAAAGTGTGTTGGTTTTTTTAACGATTTAGTATAAACCCAATCTGTCGTTACGCTTATTATTTAAAGGCATTTTATAGACACTGACGATATAATATTAAGTTTCGTTTCGTCTTTTTTCTCATGTATGGTTTAGTGTAGTTAGCTACTCTTTTGTTTTCAAAATGAAACTGTTTCTGTTCTTACATCATTAATACTGAGTGAATTCATAATCCTATGTTTCTGCGTGGTAAGTTGACATTAGTAAATAAATACAAATGAACTTCTTGCATCATTTGTATGGCACTAAGGTCATTATTTACGAATGATCTGTATTCATAATGATTAAACTGTGTTTAGAATATCGCTTTGTGTATGATGGAATTCTGAAACCAAGAGTAACGAGTATTTCAAGATGGTAAATGGGTTAATGAGGCAGTGAATTTTCGTCAGTCGTATTGGTTCTAACATGATGTACTATCACTTACCTCTTCACACGACGTTGGATGTCACATGATTAGATTACAAGAAAACTAGAAGCGGCAAAGCCAAAACATGGCATTAGTTCATGAAATCATGTTGACTCATACTCATAGTACAGTTACATCCAAAAGTCCAGGTAAACTGAAAAATTATTAACCTTCTTATTAATAAGTTCAGTGTTTTATGAGTATATTTATGCCAATTTTTGTAAAGCAAGAACAACATATGTTATGGAATAAAGTGATATAATCTTATTTCATGTAGTCTAAACTTTCCGCATATATAGACTGGTTATAGCACATGAAATGAAATTAATTCACTCTATCTCACATAGTGTTTGTTGTTCTTGCGGTACACAAGTTCATCAAGGGATCTTATTACATGAAATAACTTCAGTTTACATTTTTTCTTCATTTACCCTACTCATATATACTTAGATTTAATATGAATGAACCGTTTGCATCACAAGTTGGTCTACATTATGTTCGTGGTTGTGAAATTGAAGGTCAAGTTGATAAGGAAGGTAAACTAGTACCGGATGAAGAACGTTTAGGCTTTTTACCATTGAAAGGTGAGTCTCTCCCTGAAGAAGTACACATTTTAGTTACCTAATTATGGCGTGGTACTTTAGACTAAAGATACACTTGTACAAGGTCCAACGTGTTGATTATTACTAGATGAAGACTTTACAGATTGCTTTCACTTGTCATTGTACATTTATTGTGATTTGTTTAACGAACTTATCGGTTTGATAATTTATCTTTATTTCAAAATTTTAAGGGGTTCGATTTAATGTTTACTTTTTCAAATTAATGGGCTATTATTATCTCGACTCTTTTAACAGGTACAAATGGGGGTATATGGTTTTAAGTTGTACTCTAAGTGTCGGGGTTAGAAATTGCCTAAACTGAAGTAGGTGTAGCGGTGTTTAAACCTGTGACTTAGTAACTGATAGTCGAACGTCTTAAACACGTAGTCACCATTCCATTATAGGTATGATATGTTCACCTTGACACAGTAATAGTAACACAACTTTTCTCCGAAACAGAGATAACTATTTCAGTAAATTCTTTTATCTACTTGAGTAACCACGTTTCGTCCCGACAACAAATCATCCATAAAATTTGATCAATACCAGAATTCATCAACCTTTATTTCTACTGTGACATATAGAATTATTCTGTAACCGGTTACCGAATCCACCTCAGTTTACAGAGATGTGATCAAGTTCAATACAAAAGGAGAGAAAATATTTTAATAAAACAAGAACATACTATTTAATATTATTATTATTATTACTATTACCATTACTATTATTATTATTATTATTATTATTATTATTATTATTATTATTATTATTATTATTATCAGCTTTATTCAATATTATATTTTTGGTACAATATAGAATTCTCAGCGTAAAGTATTTCAATAAGTTTCCGTTCCTTTCTTCTTGGTCGGTCCTGGCGATAAATATTGAGTGATCGCCAGTTAGATGTTAGCAGTTCAGTAAATGAACATCTGAATAATGTGCATTCTTTTCGCTGTATATTGCCAGCAACCACATTGGCTCTTATTGAGTTTTTTGTAACTTTGACAACGAAAGGTTGTACACTTTTCAGAAACGCACCAGAATACATCATGCGATTAATAAACATATTGATATATTAAAACAAACAAAAATAGGTAACTTGTTGAAATATCTGGATGGCAGGAACAGGTAGCCCAGATGCTCAAGCAGGCCGCCCTTGTTAATAAAAAGTCATGATTCATAAATTGTTCGGACTGAACATATGTGACAATTTTTAATAATGTATAACAGAATACATACAAAATACTTAATCAGAGGTGATATCATTTTAGAATACAGTATTGTTTTCGAAATACACATTGTAATAGTTATAAACCTTAAAAACATACAGTTTTTGCTAAGAAATAATTTATGAAGAACATAGATACGCTAAAGTGGTTATATAACTAAAGCGTCGTTATGTGTATTTTTGAATGACATATGTCTCACTTTTCCTGTTGGAGGTACCATCTACTCAATACATAATTTATTTGAAACTATGAAGTCAAACCTTGATATTGATACGTCGGTACACTAAACACAGTTTATTCACACTAAAGTACAACTTGGTGTTTCACATTAGTTTCGTGTTCAGTATTAACCAACAGCTTTTGCTATTGTCTGGAGTTATAGTGAGTGGAGAGTTTGTCAGTCAGTCAGTCAGTAAGCTACAACGTAGGACCAGGCACATATGTATGAAAGGTTTAATTTCTTGGGATACACTGAGTTTAGTGAAAAACCTTTAATGTTGGTGATATGTTACAATAGTGATACCGTTGCATTATACTCAGATATGAAATTGATTCTTTCAATTCCTACTATTCATGGAAACTGTTATATTTTGAAATGGAAATCTCAAAAGGAAACAAGATTACAACACAAAAAAATAGCAAAAATCACTGTTCGACTCGTCGCTTGAGAGAGAGAGACAATTTATTCTTATCCTTCCCAAAAGTCTATGAATGCCTTAAGTAGTCAACTCTTCCCTTTGTTTTGATGCAGTACCACCTTGAACAACTCATGGTTTTTGTTTTGACACTCCGTAAGTTATTGTAGTTTTGAATCTGAATCTGAATAACATCTGTAAAAGTCTGTCTAAGGTTATGTTATCGTGCACTGTTAGCAATAAAGCACTAGTGGTTGATGCTACCCTCTATCGATTCAAGTTTAAAATCATTATTTATGCAACATTACACACTAAAGCATAAGGAGTAGTAACGAAATTATGTCCCAACTGGACCAACAGGTCTCTGAAATCGCTATGCCTAACTCAACCCCCAGACCCAGTTCTTCTCTTAAATTTGCGAATCAAAGTGTACGATTTCTCTTTCGTATTTTGTTCCGTTATCATAGACCCTCCTTTTTTGCTTGTTTACGAAAAACTAAGATGTTCAGATCATTTTTTTGTTAACGTCGACTTTGATAGTAAATAAATCTAAAAATCCATTGTAGTGAAGTTTTTCACAATAAGTTTAAATAAAGTAGTCAGTTGTTTTCATTAGTCATACTTCGTAGAATCAGTTCTTATTCTCATATGATAACTTGTTAATTTGCAAAAAGTAATACCAATTATTTTGCTACTTTATCCACATTTTTCTACTATTTTTTCTTACTGTATGTGTGTATAGGAGAAAAGCCCAACTTAGTTGATACTTTACCAACATGGCGTGTACGCTTAGATCCTGTACAATATCAAACAGATTTAGACCATTTAAAAACTGAACAAATGCGTGCTGAAGTGTTACGATCAAAAGTGATTCGAGCAAAACGTGAAGGACGTACTACCGAAGAAATCCAAGCATTACAGGCACAAGTTGATGAAGCTGAACAAGTTTCACCAGAAGATTTATATGATACATTCAATGTTTTAATTAGACGAAAACCAAAAGAAAATAATTTCAAAGCTGTCTTAGAAACTATAAGGTCAGTTTTCATTTCATTTCTGTACTTAACTGCTCAGAATATAAGTACCTGTAGTAAGATTCAGAGCTGGGATTCAGTGGTTGAAAGTCAAGTGATTTAGCATTTAATCTACTGTTTAACTTTTACCCACTATTAGGTAAGGTGGCTTGAGATCACACTCATCCATCTAATTCAATTTGAACAACAGTAAATTATCACTAGCTGTAAAACTTAAAGTGTAATTCATAACTGGGTACAAAGAAACGTACTTGATGATCGAGTTAAATTACCATATTACTCCATATTTTTTCCTTGTATTTATTCATTTTTATGTAGCCTAAGGCATACATTTAGCTTTTTTCAAGTCACCAGATACAGATTCATGCACTGGATCTTGATCGACGTTCTAATTATGAGGGCTAAGAACACTATCCAGTTACACAAATCAAATTAGTTGAAACGGGGTTCAAATTTTGACGTAGTATCTGTAAATCAAACATCTTAACATATTAAGCCACCGCTCAACATTTAACCTGACTAAACAGGATAAAAATAGTATATTTATATATTTCACTATGAGACATATTTATTGTGTGCTTAAATTATAAACTGACACGTTCGATCATGTTATTTTTCGAGGGAAAATAGATTGTTTATTTAATGATTATCAACCAGATCTTGTAATGACAGTTCAAACATTTTAGTTATATAAAATTCTACCATAATGTTGCATATAATTGAAAGGAAATAGTAGGAAATTATCGGTTCAGATTTCATGTTTGTTAGCATTCATCAACAAAGTGTATTTGCAATTTATAGTGAAATGATACTTTTCATATGATAATTAAAAATTTCATACTAGCGTTATTTGTGGAGAAGGCGAGATGTTCTTCTGTAAACCAAAGTGCAAGTACATCGTACAGCTGCCTACTTTGTATCTCTTTATGACTAAAACATGAAATTGGCATATATTCGTTGACCATAGGTGTCTTCGATTCATTAACTCTTTATCTTACTGTAAATCTTAAGCTCCACTATTTTATACATTCCTTTACGCTCTGCTTTTTTAGAACTATACTCTCAGTGTTCAATTATTCTTATATTTTCATTGCTACTACTGTATTACGATTCTTCTATTCATCTCGTTAATTTTATCTTGTCCTATTACAGAATATCCACTTGAACTAACTCACAATCTTCCTTGACCCTACTTTAATTATTGCTGATTGGTGTTTCTAATTCATGTTTCTCAGTTTCATAGTCGGAATGCTAAATGATATCCGAGTAGCTCAGTCCAGTTAACAATACAGAAATAGAATTGGCATAAGCGTGAGGAAAAAAACAAATTTATATTGAGAAAGATAAACATTATCTTGTTTAAGGCCAATTATATTGTATCATTTTAGTCTTCATTAAAAGTTATCACTATTCTTCCTTATCATATGCTCCTTTTTGTATATATTATGTTGATAATATTTTTATACATTTGTTTTCCCTATAAATTATGCCTACCCAAGGGATCTTATGAATATTCGATCCGTTGTCCCTGAATGGTTATTAGATTTATTGATGGGTTATCTTGATCCTGCCGCTGCACATTATACACATCGTTCAGATGTATATGAACCGCGACAAAATTGGCTGGATACATTTTTATCACCAGAACATTTAAAACACTCATTATCTCAGTATAATGTACAGTTTACAGATAAACGTCAAAGTCGTAAATGGAAGTCTAGTTGTCAGACTGAAATGTCAGATATAACTGGTAATTTTTATTGATAATTTTTCTCAGGTTTACTCCTGATGATAAGATAGAACAATGTCGATTGTAATTTTACATGTATATCTACCACTTTTCAATATTACTGAATTACTTCTTAAGAAACTACTTTTCAGACTTGATTAACTGAGATTTATTTTTATTTTATTTTAACACATAGATAATGGTACAAAGAGGCACCAAATACATATGCGCCACACAAATATCATTCGATATGTGTGAGGGCTGTGATACTGCCTGGGTGCCCAAACCGAAGTAGGTGGTTTTCTTAGGGGGCCACACCCCGAGCCTTTGACCTAAAGGTCTAAGCGACAAGGCAGTGGAGCATCGTAAGGAGATGCAGTCCCATGGAAGCCGGTGACCAATGATTGGTTCATAGGCCATTTGTTCCCGCAGGATACTGGAGCCCATGTGCACCATTGGTTTGGAATCCGGTTAAAGCGCCGGACATTCGCTTTTCGTCCTCTCAATTTCGTAAACAACACCCCTGGTGCGAGAAGGCAGTGAGTAGGACTTCCCTGGCAGAGGCTATATACGCGTGGCCATGTGAGAGCATTTCGAGAGGGGGAGCGGACTCTCCCTACCCTCGGCATTTAAGGGCGATAATAATAATAATCAGCACAAACTTTCTGTAGAAATGATTCACTCGAGCTTCACACACGATTAGCGTATAATTTCCTCGAAGTTGATTGTTTTTTTTGTCGACTCAGTTATTATGTCTGTTAGATCGTGATTGGTCGATGAGCGAAGACAGACATCCGAATTCTAAAAGATGGTCTTACATCGTTAATTGATTTCACTTATGTTACTGTGACTTCATTTGTCGACTCCTTTGTATTGTTTGTTATTAAACTCTTCTTTTATAATCTGGTTTTTGATTGTTGATCGAGTATATCATACGACCGAGTGTCATTACATATTGAGCTCAATGGTCTAGTAGTTAGTCTTACTGTTCGAATTATTAAATATCTAGTGTCCAGTGAAGGATCATATCAACCATTTAGATCGACGGTACTAGTATTTTGCGTTATAAGAAACACAATAGCTTAAAAAACATACGTCCATCAAAATAATTATTATGGACGTCGTTTCATATAAAATCCTGAAATCTGCTTCATTGTTGTGCCCCACTAAGTAAGCTAGTGATAATAAGGTGTCTTATTAATAATCATTAAAGCCTGTGATTAGAAGTTGTAGTTACAGTTGTCTAGTTGTTCTCATTATTTATCTTCTTACACATGTTCAGATTGATTTCGTTGTACAATTTGCATTTCTTATGATTCTTTATTAGTTTGAACCAAAATCATTATAAGGGAGGGTTTCTAATTCTCCGTTGTTAATATTCATGATTGCAGTTTATCACCAGTCTCTGTCGCCATGTGTACATCTTAAAAGAATTGCATTAATATAACATGATACATTTATTTTCTTGAAATTGGTCTTAATATTCCTGTCCCACATTGCAGTTATTAATCACGAAACGATTTTGTTGTCCTTCAAACTTGATTTTTGTGTTAAGTTCGTTATTTTATTGTCATTGTTTTCTGGAGTCCCTCCAGGGGCTACTGCCAGTCCCAAGCCCGGATAAAGGAGGTGGGTTAGTTATGATGTTAGCAACCCCATCCCGTAGAGAACTAATTCGCTAAAAAACTAGCCAGAAAAAATTATTCAAACCATGTAAACTCTGCCCTGGGAATCAGAAGGTTTTCATTTAGAAGAACTATGACGCCTCATAGTGGAAGCCGATTTTCTTCGGAAGTCACGAGGCCGATGCCTCTTCTGACAACCAGAGCGACCATTTATTTAGGTACATGGAATTTTCGTACAATGTGGGACACCGGGAGAGTCTTCAAACTTGCTGCAGAAATGAGGAGATACAACCTAGAGGTGCTTGGGATCAGTGAAACACATTGGACGAAAGTTGGACAACAACGACTAGCTTCAGGTGAGCTCCTGTTATACTCCGGCCATGATGAAGAAAATGCTCCACATACACAAGGAGTTGCATTGATGCTGTCCAAACAAGCACAAAAAGCACTTATAGGATGGGAATCTCATGGACCAACGATCATCAAAGCCTCGTTCAAAACAAAGAAACAAGGCATTTCAATGAACATCATCCAATGCTATGCACCTACCAACGACTACAATGAAGACACTAAAGATCAATTCTACAATAGGCTACAGTCAATTGTCGAGAAGTGCCCAACAATGGACCTGACCATTCTGATGGGAGATTTCAACGCCAAGGTTGGGACGGACAACACTGGATATGAAGACATCATGGGACGACATGGACTGAGAGAAAGAAACGAAAATTGTGAGAGATTTGCAAACCTATGTGCCTTCAATAAACTGTTCATAGGCGGCACCATATTCCCACATAAACGCATTCGCAAAACCACATGGACTTCACCGAATCACACTACGTAAAACCAAATCGACCATTTCTGCATCAACACAAAGTTCAGGAGGACGATGGAAGACGTGCGAACCAAGAGCGGAGCTGATATAGCATCAGATCATCACCTGCTGGTCGCCAAGATGAAATCGAAACTCAAGAAGCATTGGACAACGACGCGGATATCACAAATGTTTAATACGCCTTTTCTTCGGAATACTGACAAACTCAACAAATCAAAAATTCTTCTTAGCAATAGGTTCCAGACATTTCATGATCTACTCAATGGACAGGGAACTACTATGTAGAGAAATCGGAAAGGGATAAATGAGACAATCACTTCAACATGTCATGAGGTTTTGGTCCACAAGGGGCACCATCACAAGGAATGGATCACTATCGATACACTGGACAAGATTCAACAAAGGAAGAACAAGAAGGCATCAATCAACACCAGCCGAACAAGAGCAGAGAAAGCCAAGGCACAAGCTGAATACACAGAAGTAAAGAGAAGGGAACATGAGAGAGCTGTATGATATAAGAAAAAGAAAGTCGCTAAAAATCGACGTAAACCAGAACGACCAGTGAAAATAACAACGGAACTGGTGGGTAGATCACTTCAAAGAACTCTTGAATCGATCAGCTCCACTGAACCCACCCAACATCGAAGCAGCACCCACGGACCTCCCAATTGATGTTAGCCCACCAACAATTGAAGAGATCAGCATGGCCATCAGACAAATCAAGAGTGGCAAAGTAGCATGACCAGACAACATTCCAGCAGAGACAGTGAAAGCAGACGTAGCGGCAACTACAAGGATACTCCACATTCTCTTCAATAAGATTTGGGATGAGGAACAAGTACCAACAGACTGGAAAGAAGGACTTCTGATCAAAATATCAAAGAAAGACGGTCTCAGCAACTATGATAACTACAGGGGCATCACTCCTCTTTCAATACCGGAAAGTCTTCAACAGGGTATTGCTAGACAGAATGAAGGACTGCGTAGACGCCCAACTTCGTGATAAACAAGCAGGATTCCGTAGCGATAGATCGTGTACAGACCAAATTGCAACTCTATGGATCATTGTGGAACAATCAATTGAATGGAATTCATCAATCTACATCAACTTCATTGACTACGAAAAAGCATGTGATAGCGTGGATAGGACAGCACTATGGAGGCTTATTCGACACTAAGGCGTACTTGAGTAGATAGTCAATATCATACGGAATTCCTATGATTGATTAAACTGCAAAATCAGGCATGGAGGACAGTTGACAAACTCGTTCGAAGTAAAGACCGGTGTCAGGCAAGGTTGTTTACTCTCACCCTTTCTCTTTCTCCTGGTGATCGACTGGATCATGAGACGTCAACATCTGAAGGGAAACGCGGGATACAGTAGACATCTAGGATGCAGCTGGACGATCTAAACTTCGCAGATGATCTGGTCTTCTATCCCAAACGCAACATCAAATGCAGGAGAATACGACCAGTGTAGCAGCAGCCTCAGCAGTAGTAGGTCTCAATATACACAAAGGTAAAAGCAAGATTCTCCGACACAATACAGCATGCAACAGTCGAGTCACACTTGACGAAGATTTGGAAGATGTAAAAACCTTTACATATTTGGGCAGCACCACAGTGGATCTGATGAAGATATGAAGGCGCGGATCGGCAAAGCAAGAGTAGCATATTTATAACTGAAGAACATCTGGAACTCGAAACAACTATCTGCTAACCAACACCAATGTAAGAATTTTCAATACAAATGTCAAGACAGTTGTACTGTATGTGGCGGAAGCCTGGAGAACTACGAAAGCCGTCATCCAGAAGATACAGGTGTTTATTAACATTTGTCTACGCAAAATAATTCGGATCCCTTGGCCAGACACTATAAGCAACAATCTACTATGGGAGAAAATAAACCAGATAGCAGCTGAGGAAGAAGTCAGGAAGAAGTGCTAGAAGTGGGTAAGACACGCATTGAGGAAAGCACCCAACTGTGTCACAAGACAAGCCTTCACATGGAATCCTGAAGGCCAAAGGAAAAGAGGAAGACCAAAGAACACATTACGCCGAGAAATGGAAATAGACATAAGAAAAATGAACAAGAATTGGATGGAACTAGGAAAGAAGGCACTTGACAGAGTGGGTTGGAGAATGCTGATCGACGGCCTATGCTGCATTAAGAGTAACAGGCGTAAGTAAGTTAATATATCATAGATCAGATGAACGCCTTTGGATATATTTTCATCTGCGATCAACTTATAGTTCAAGAAACATTTTTACATTTTTTCAGCCCTGCTTTTTAGTTATTAAATGCAATTGTATTTACTTGGCGTTAAGTCGTACCATTAAAATGTGAGTTATTGATACATACCCATCAGTCCAGACAAATGTATGTGAAGCGCTAACCTGTGACCCCGCTACTAAACTATAATTTCTGCAGTGGTTACGTGAAAATATATCAATATCCACTTTTTTGATAAAAAAGCTACAAACTATTTTTTTTCTTTTTTTTCAAAGATCCCACAGATCATCTACCTGGACCACCTTATCGTCTTATTTTTCCAAAATTAGAAAATGATCCAACTGCAAAAGTCGAAGCAATGATCCCATCAGATATGATTATTCAGAAGCATTCAACTAGTAGCGCTAATGTAGATACTTCTAACAATCAGTCTGGAAATGATGAAAAACCAACTTTGATTGCTGAAGCTTACGATCCACCTTTACAGCCGCCTTGGAGTTTACTTGCTCAGGCTGGAGGTCATCTGCCTAATGGCCTCTCATCCATGAATTCTAAACTTGGCAACAAAGTCCCATTCACACCAGCACAAGTAGAAGCTATTCGATCTGGTATGCAATGTGGTCTAACTTTGGTAGTCGGTCCGCCTGGTACTGGGAAAACAGATGTAGCTGTACAAATTATTCATAATTTATATCATAATTACCCTAATCAACGGTAAGTACTGCTGTACGTAATCTTTTTCATTTAAGAATTTCTCAAAAGTAACATATACCATTCTCACAAACGATGCTTAAACAATAATCGCCCACTGAAATGTAAGAACACTATCCTTTCCTTTGGTCTTCAATCGTAACAGATTGCTATTAATTACATTAGCAAACCCATAGGCTTAACTTCTTAGTTATTAGTCAAACGCTCCAATTTGTTTCATTCAGCTCTGTACTCATGAATGTAACTCAAAATTCAGAGTTGTTGTGGTCTATGTAGCTCAACACCAGTAACTATAACTTCAGTGCTAAGTAGTATAAATTCAAACAATTAAATGTCAGCAAAAATAACGAAACCTAGGTCTATAAATTCTTTTTATACTTGATAATTGTTTGTATACGTTTCATGGTTAACTTCTTTATGGCGAACTGTCATCAGAATTGATTACCTCAAGTGGTGTTCGTCAGGGCTGTCAACTCTCCCCATTCTTGTTCAACTTTGTGGTGGACGTACTTTTAGAGATAACACTCTCCTCATCTAAATTTCCAGGGGTTGAACTTCTACCGGGAGGTTCACTTGTTGACTTAGAATATGCTGATGACATAGTTTTATTTGGTGAAGACGCTGACAAAATGCAGAGTCTTCTGACCACTCTAAGCAACAATGCAAGCATGTTCGGGATGCGATTCTCTCCCTCGAAATGCAAAATGTTGCTTCAGGATTGGGTTACATCGACACCCGAACTAGTGATAGGGTGTGAAGTAGTTGAGTGTGTCGACCGCTTCACTTATCTTGGAAGTCTCATCAGCCCTTGTGGTTTAGTGTGTGACGAAATCTCAGCACGGATACAGAAGGCTCGACTAGCTTTTGCCAACTTGCGTCATTTATGGCGTAGGCGAGATATCCGTCTATCAACCAAAGGACGTGTTTACTGCGCAGCAGTTCGTTCCGTCCTACTTTATGGCAGTGAAACATGGCCGGTAAGAGTAGAGGATATCCATAGGTTACTAGTATTCGATCGTAGGTGTCTTCGAAACATTGCTCGTATATCATGGGACCATCAAGTAAGTAACACAGTTGTTAGGAAACGGGTATTAGGTAAGGATGGCAAATCAATTGATGAAGTAGTGAAACTTCATCAGTTGAGATGGCTGGGACACGTGTTACGTATGCCCAACGACCGACTGCCCCGACGTGCGATACTTTATGGTGTAGGAGTAGGTTGGAAGAAAGCTAGGGGCGGCCAAACCAAAACATGGCACAAGTCCATGAAGTCAATGACAAGTAGACTGAGTCATGTTGGTAGGTGTAGACTACCTGGTTGGGGACCGCGAGATGATAGCAACCGATGGTTAGAGACCCTGAATGACATGGCTCAAAATCGTTTGCAATGGCGCAGGTGCATCCACTCTCTGTGTTCTCCCAAATTCTAATCTTCTGAATTCTTCATATCCCTTTCTTTTTTCTCTTTCCAAATTTCTTTCACTGGATTATACTCTTTAAATAACATCTCCAAACCCTAATTTTCCCGATTACTGCTTATACTCTTAATACCTCTACCACTACGAGATTTGAATCGACCACTGTATCTCTGTGCTAATGTGGTGTGGCAACTCGAACTGATGTACGTACGTACGAAGTTCTACGTTGTTACTGACTGACTGACTCTTTCTATAATCTTAACTGTATATTTTGATTATTTCCTATTTTCATACCGTTTTTTTTGTGTTCTGTTGATTGTCCAAAATAAAACTAGCATTCTTATTGTAACTCATTCAAATCAAGCATTAAATCAATTATTCGAGAAAATTATCGCTTTAGATGTTGATGAACGTCATCTTTTACGTTTGGGTCATGGAGAAGAAGGTTTAGACACTGATAAAGACTTTTCACGTTATGGTCGAGTTGATTATATTTTAGCTAAACGTATACATCTTTTACAAGAAGTGAGTTTATCATAATTTTAAGTACATACAATATCTGTGCATAAATCTATATTATGTGAAAATCGAAAGTACATCACCATTGTTAATACTGTAAAATATAATGACAATCGCTGAGTGATCCATCTCAAATCTTATCAAAAACATATCCAGTATAAGCTATTCACAGTAACCTTTTACATCCACGCGAATAATAAACATCGGCTATGTTTCCCCTGATTGGCTGCTCAAGGCCATCAGTGAACCATGATTTTACCAGCTTATAGTTTGATGATTCGAATTTCACTGCTTTGATTACTTCGTTTAGAACAGTCGAATAGTATCTCGCTAACTCTGATGTAAAACTTTATGACTCAAGGACGTACACATGAACTTGTAATTAATCATCAAGAAGTTAGTAATCACAAATTATTCAAGATTTAATGATAACATTGAAGAAAAGTCAGATTACTGGTGTTGTAGTGAACAGAACACGTGTGGGGACAATCGAATGTATTTGACACAAAATTACAGGACTTGTTAGTAAAATCTAACAATCAAATAGTAAATACTTAATTTGCAAAATGTCCATCAATTGTCTCATAGTAACTCAGACTTCATTGTTCTTGCATTTTCATACAAATTGCATTCTGTTTCCATTCTTTACTGTTCAATCCTCTTGTCTCTCTGCTGCCAGAAATTCTGTTTACGACTAACATCATATACTACTTCTGTCAATATAAGTAGCACACCACAGTGTGAAAACTTGTTTGTCAGTGCGTGGCATCAATGCAAATACTGATTCAAGCGGTTTACACATACAACATCACTCAATGTTCTTAATTAAAATACTAGCATATATCATTAAATTTTGAAACTAGCGTTGAATTCCACAATATAATCAATGGTAACAATGTCACATAGTCAGCAGGATGCATGTAACTGAGTACGGTTTTTCATCAGTGTGTTTCAATCAGTAATTGCTTTGCCTATAATGATAACTCTAGATTCGCATCTATGAATTTTGACTTACTGAATTTAATGCATGAAAACATCTTTTCATGAATATGAATTAATCTGAAAAAGTGAATACTCTACATGCAAATAGTTTGAAATTGTGACTCATTCTTTTGTTAATAATTAATAGAATTTAGTTATTGTTTCATATTTGAATCATTTATTTAGGCTGTTGTCAATTTACTGGTCTGTTAGGTCCATCAAAATACCATAATTAACTACCTAAATGATAAAGAAAAAGTAAATAAATTAATCGACATATGAAACTGTAATCAAAATACTTAGAAACTTCCAAAACACCATGTGTTATTCATTCTTCATCATTGAAGTCTGAAGTAGAATTCAGCTATAAAATGTTTAGATATCTACCCTAATGTAGATAAATTCTCTGTTTGCATTATTTTTGATTGATATTCTCATTTTCTAAAGCGTTTTTGATGAAACTATAACTTATGGACGACCATTGAGCGATGCTAAGGTGACCCTAAGAGAATGTCCATCCACTCACTAGGGCAAAATAATGGTTATGAAGCAGTGTGAGGAATTTAAATTATGATTTACAGTTGATAGTTAGGGTTAGGAACTAGATTTAGAGTTTTCATCACATACTGAAATCAGTTAAAATACAGAGACGCTACTTAGCCAAATGGATGAATGAATTTCGCACCAAAATTCAAGGTCTGTTATCTTATATCTGATTAGTTCGTCTATATATTAACGCCTCGTCGTGCTTTTTCAGCAAGATTTTCATTTTAATTACAATTGTTTTCTCCTTTCCGTCATCTCACTCCACGAACTTCTTCCATGATTTATCTAAACTGTTTAAATCAAGGTGACACGTTTAGCGAAAACATTAAATCCATCATCAGCTATTCCACAATTATCTACCGATCACCTGCCTGATTCCGATTTATCTGATTCAACAAATAGTTTTCATTTACAAACTTGTGAAACTGCTCAATATTTTTATATTCAAGAAGTTTTATCACGTTGGGAAGATTTTATTAGTAAGATAGCTGCAAGTGATACATCACACCATTTAATGAGCAATACAAATCCAAGAAATCAATCAATGACAGAAGAGAACACAGAAAAAGATGTTGTGATTTATGATCCGAATTTAATTCGAAATAGTTTTCCGTTTACAGAATTTTTCACTGGTCAAAAAACTCCATCCAATGAAGTAATGAGTCAATTGTTTCCGGTTAGTTAACTATTTTTTATCCTTATTTAAAAACAAACAAACTGGACCCGTATTTTACTTGGTTGATATGACGGAGTAAGAATTAAATATAGTAGTTAGGTGTGCTGTCTATTGTATGGTGAAAACGACATATAGTTGTCGATATCCCTCCAATAGTTTATCTGTTAAATGACCTCCAATTTTGTTTATACTTGTGTTTGATATTTTGTATATAAACATGTTATTTCGTTAGATGAAAAACCTATTCATCTAGCCAATGATCTAATCTTTAATCTTAAACCATTTGGAGGTTTACATCAATAATTTAGTTGTGTGAGTCTAAACTTCCTTTATAATAACACTAAGCAGTTTATCATATAAAAGCCCCTAGTATTTCATCCAGCCAAAAATTTTGTTCTCATCAAATATTTCGAAACATTTTTCTCGCACTTACTAGGCTAAGAACATGTATGATGGCAATTTTATCGAAGATGAAATGTCTCACTCCAACCAATTCACGATATTTCGTGACCATCATGTGCTCACTAGTGATTAGCTTCAAGAGGTAATTCTCGGAGCTCCGTTGAGACGTGACCAATGGAGTTTAACCGTGTCGGATGTGAGGCAGTTACCCACAAACGACAATGGAAGATGGTCACACAATTTCGTAGATTGGTTAAAATTAGACATTAACATCATTGGATGACGGCTCAATGGTGTAGATGTTAAATTTTCGCACGAGACCGAAGGTCCTGGGCTCGAGTCCCGAGTGCAGGATCGTGGGTGCGCACTGCTGATCTGTCCCGTACTAGAATGGAACGGCCATTCAGTGCTTCCAGGTTTTCAATGGTGACCTAACATTGATCGGTTCATGATATCAATATGTGTATCAAATGTAAGTGAACATCCTACAACATTGGTAACCAAAGTAATCCGAAGGATTAGAAACAAGTGGGTACGTATTGAGTATACTTTAACGATAGGTGAGAATAAAATATACAAAGCTCATTTGGTTGAACAGTTATAACCGTTAAACTAGAAGCGAGTCTAAAATGATGGTATAATAATGAATTCATGAAAATAATTTAAAAAAACTAAATAAGTCAGTGAAATGTTCATTCTACCATATCAGAAAAAGGTTAGCAACAGTTTCATTTCGGACACTTACGTCGTGTTTCTAACGCCTGATAGCAATAACTTGAGCAAATTCAAAGTATTTCTCCCTCTTGATTGAAGGCTTTTTGGAAAATGTTCAAAAAGTTTGGGGTAGACCCTCCGTTCTGTTTGACCAGTTTCTTTGCTAGGTACCTACATATATACTTGTCAACATTTAATTGAGTTAATGAACATGTTTTATATAGTACTAATAGTTTGGCTGCAAGTTAGGTTTTAGCTTATTCAGTATTAAGCCTTCCGTTGATTGTCTCTGCCAAATTATCATCTTTAAGGTTGAGATTGTTAAAAATTGGTGTTTCATTAACTGCAGAATGCATCTAACTTGCTGTCTTTAGTTTTTCTTTACTAATCTTGATGAAGAGATATTTATTAAATTTTCGTTAGACATCTCATGCTTTAAACAAAATAGCTGTGTTTGAATAACTATTTGATTGATTTCATGTTCTTTTTTTTCTGGTAGGGTCAAAATCTCTTGGAAGATGTTGCTTTAGCACATGCCTATTTTCGTTATCTTCATTCTATATTTACTCAACTAGATGAATTTCGTGCTTTTGAATTAATGCGTACCGGAACAGAACGTGCCAATTATCTTTTAATCCAAGAAGCAAAAATTATTGCAATGACATGTACACATGCTGCATTACGTCGAAGAGATTTAGTTCAACTAGGATTTACATATGATACAATTTTAATGGAAGAAGCAGCACAAATATTAGAAATTGAAACATTTATTCCACTACTTTTACAAAATCCTGATATATCCGGTAGAAATCGATTAAAACGTTGGATTATGATTGGTGACCATCATCAGTTACCACCAGTTGTTAAAAATCAAGCATTTAATAATTATTCGAATATGGGTCAATCATTATTTGCACGTTTAGTGAAACTTGGTGTACCAACTGTACAATTAGATGCACAAGGTCGAGCTAGACCATCACTTTCACGTTTATATAGTTGGCGATATGATCGATTAACTGATTTACCGCATACATTGAATGAAGTACAATATTGTCTGGCAAATCCAGGCTTTAGATACGATGTACAGTTAATAAATGTTGAAGATTACAAAGGTCAGTTTATTGATGTAATTGTTAATAAGGATTTGAGTTATCCCGTTATGGTATTTCGGGACTGGATTTTAGTCAATCTTTGTTGTCTCATATACATCCAGTTTGAATTGCCTTGATCTAGAGATTTTGTTACAAGCTTTATAGAACAAATGGAACATCCACCCTAGTGTTGATTCTTGCACTGAGACTGGAGCTTAGTAATACGTTTAATAAAAAGGTTACTATAAATATCATACCCGTTGAACAAACTTGTGGCTATCTCAGAATAATAATTCAGTAGTTACTACTTTTGCATTTGAAAAAAATGCTTATTTCAAGTTTGTGTGATTATCATCACTAGAGTCCAAGTTTGTCCAGCTGACGTATCTCAGATCGGTAGAAACGCGTGTCCTGAATTTGACTATTAGCTACAATCCATGGATTCTACTTTAACAATCTTTTTTTATTATACGTTGAACGTCAGGTATTCTCGATTTTACATAGACTATCTACAAAAGAGATTTTATTTTATCCGAGTGGAGCACAGTCTCTTAATCATTTATCATTCATATACCGTCGAATTATTTGGTTGGATCAAAAAAGATGCATATTACAAACTTACAGTTCAATCAATTTCAACAGTTATAGTTTTTAAGCAGTAAAATTTTCAGTCAGTCAATAACTGAACTCTGTTTATTCTTATTCCTGTCTAGACCTGAATCTTCAAACTGTTATTATAATAATATATATTCTGTACATGTGATTTGCACGCCCGATGGGATTGATTAAAAAAGAAATGCAATATTTTAAGATAACATGTCCACATTCAATGAAAAGATGAGATTCATAAATTGTTTTCATGCAAGATTTGCCACAAAGATGTTAATAGTGTGAAATATATTCTAAAATCAATGATCAATATTGATAGCAGTTCAGAGTACAGCGTTGTTATCAGAGTATACACCGTGATAGTTATCGGTCTTATAAGGACAGAGTAATTGTTTTAGTAAACAGTGTAAGCATAACACATGTACATTAAGAAAGCACCATAGCTGCAAACTCGTCAACATTTTAGAATGGGTAGATGTTGTATTAGGACTCAGTAAGTTAGGAACCAGTATTTTTTTGGTTGGAGGATTGGAGCATACTATCTAGAAATAAGTAGTGTAACGAAGGTTAATTCCTGTCTTGTTACATAATATATATTGTCATTTACAACTAGAGGGAAGAATAGGAAAACAGAGAGCTTTAAATAACAAAAGTTATTGTGACAGGTCTTATACCATGCATGTACTTGATTGTTCCTTAAGTTACTAATTTACAAAGATCTTATTGAAACTAATCAATTTATTGAGTCCACTAACTGATCTAAGTTGAATAGTCATTTCGATAAAGTTCAACAATCTCCACAACCCTAATACTAATAATCAATGCGTATACCTTTTTAAAAGAAAGTAATGAAATATGATTTGTGATTAACAAGATATGATGTAAATAAGTTTTAACATAATCTTGTAAAAACATTCAAAGTATAAACTATGAACCTGTAGGTAAGTCTGACAGTTATCCTCTATAATGACAATGTTGACACATTTGAAGTCTCATCATCATGTTTTTGTTTTTCAATAATCCTTATACAGGTATCGGCGAATCTGAACCCAGTCCATTCTTCTATCAAAATTTAGCAGAAGCTGAATACGTTGTTGCAGTCTACATGTATATGCGTATATTAGGTTATCCAGCTGAAAAAATCACAATACTCACTACTTACAATGGTCAAAAACATTTGATTCGTGATGTTATAGCTGCTCGTTGTGCACAAAATCCTTTATTAGGAAATCCAAGTAAAGTAACCACTGTCGATCGTTTTCAAGTAAGTCAATTTGAAATTGTTTTTACCAAAAGTAGATTGTTACACGTATATTTGTGTATCTTCTTTCAAGTGTTGATTTTTTCAATCCTTAACATAACTTACTTCTGGTTGAGAGGTTTTATGACCACTAGTTTAATTCTATAGATAGTTCTCATCCATTGCAGACTGACATCAGTTGGTATCATTAAATCCAGTTAACACCATAAAACACCCTTAATTCTGTTATATTCTTGCGTGAAGATCTATGACTAATTAATTCATAGTTTAACACATCAACATGTCTGTTTAAAGCAACCAATATGTTATTTGTACTAGTAAATGGTTGTCATATTTTTTTCCTGCCAAGATACATCTATTTCGTTTGTAGTATTTTTTACTATCTTAATAATAAATCTTTATAGATTGACACTGTTTTAACTAAGTATTGTTTAACATTGGATAAGTGTTTTCCCACATATCTTGAACTTTCTTCATATTGGACATTCCCTAACTTCTGACCTCTACGTCTTTAAATCTAATTGTTAATGTCAAGTTACTGAATTTTCCTATATTGGTTTAATACATTGTTTGTTTATTGGTCGAAACATTTAGTTTTCGACTATTAGACCTCATGTTCTAACCCCCTACAACATATACTCTGTGTAGGAGGATACAGAAATTACTAGTTTTCACGCAAAAGGTAGTTTAAAGCCAAGTAAATAAACCTGTACACTTGGTAAATAACTCAGTTTCACATGTTTATAACAGTCAGTGAATACAAGATTACAACAAAGCACATTCCACTGAATTTATCAACTCGCTCACCGTTATCCTAATCTTGTATTCGCATAATGGATCGGTTAGATTTTGATCAAAATTAAAATGGTCACCCATTCGCAATTCATCATTAGTAATAGACGACTTCATGAATGGGAAGTCTGGGATGGTTTATTCGATATCTACTATACTATATACATACAGTATCCTGAGTGAAAACCTTCCATTCTATTGGTACAATCTGAAATAAAATGTTTATATTTTCCTAATGTTCATTAAATAGTCGATCTAACTTGATGATCAAATTACAGGTCCGCATGCTACTCTTTGAGCGGCCTATGCTCCTTCACGAGGAGTAACAGGCGTAAGTAAGTATGCTACTCTTTGAGCTCTAAAAATACTAACTGTTTGTTCAAGCTGGAATAGGTAGGAAATAGTTTTGCACTTATCATCTATGTAAATTGAAAGTTGAATGCTTGAACAACTAAACAACGTTTGCATTTCTGCATTGTGAATAACTGAATGAGTTTTCTTAGCTTACCTAATCCATACATAATGTTTCTTTAAATGTCTAAATTTGCGCCAAACGTTATAATTCTGAATATTTTTCGTCGTCCACTAACTAATGTCGTTTTCCACAAAAAACGTGTTTCCTCCGTGCATTCTTCAACATCGAGTCGATTCCCATACCATCTGTTTATTAAGACAATAGGTTTATGCCAATCGTTGAGTATCGCAAATTAAATTGAGTTGCATATATGAACCTTTTCGTTTCGACTTAATGGTTATCTAAAGTTACCTTGCGTGCTGTGAAACCCAAATGTTTTGTGTTCGATTCCCGGTGGATTCATAGATAGGAACTATTGCCAAGTCCTAGACTAAGAACAATGGCTATTCATTGTTTCTTGATTTCCAACGATTCACGAACTGATATATATATATATATATATATATATATATATATATATTTCAATGCTGGTTACTTACCGCACATAATTTTAGGTTCAAGATCTATTGTTTTTTAGGGAAATGGCGACCAATTTTTTTATGTACTATATTGGTTCTTCGAGAGTGTAATATAATTTAATCAGTCAGTTGTATGCAGCGTAGAATCTGGCGTATGTATACATTGATTCACGCTGCCACACCCCATTAGCATAATGAGATGAAATTCTCGGATGAATCCCAAAGTAGTAGAGAAAGTAACAGTTTTATTGGTAACAGAAAAAATCAGGCATCGAAGACACTATTCAACGAGAAAATTTGGATTTTTGGAATAAACAGTTATTTGAAAACTCAAGATTGCATAAAAGACAGTATAAATCTCTTTGCACCATTGTTAACAACTTTAAGCCACCTCACCCAAAATCTCTAGCCATTGTTTACAATGATCACGCGGACTTCAACCAGGTAGTCTGCATCTATCTATATGGCTCAGTCCACGGACTGGTGCCACATCTTGGTTTGGCCACCCTCTAACTTTCTATCTACCTACTCCTACACTTGCCATCATCGCGCGTTGAGATAGTCGGTGGATTGGCATATCTAACTACATATCCTGACTATCTCAGTCGATGGTGGTTCACCTAGTTAATTAGGTAGGATTTTACTCTTTACTTAGAATTAATTTATTTTCTTCACCCCCCGTCTGGACCAATAACTAACGACGGTTTATTATTATTATTATTATTATTATTATTATTATTATTATTATTATTTAGGGTCAGCAAAACGATTATGTACTAGTTTCATTAGTACGTACACGTACTGTTGGTCATTTACGTGATGTTCGCCGTTTAATTGTTGCTTTATCACGTGCCAGGCTTGGATTGTATATATTTGCTAGAATTGAACAATTTGCCAATTGTCCAGAATTAAAACCTGCTTTTGATTTACTTTTAAATCGTACATCTGATGAAAGTAAACAAATGAAACCGACTGAGCTACACCTAACACCATGGGAAGTATGGATTGTAAGTTTCTTTTGGTGGGGAATATATACATATATACCGATGATTAATTCTGTCATATCGTATAACTTCTTTTATAAAAATTTTTTTCAAATAATTCATAAGCTTTCATTAACGCTGTAAAACGAAGACGTAAAGCTATTATCTGTTTGACAATAGAGTACTAGATCGTTTTCGATAACTTCGTTATCAGTCTCTACACTTATTAATCCAAAATGATCATTTTTATATTGCAATTGACAAAATATTAAAGCTGAAATAATCCATTTTATTAATTGGAAATGATCAACTTCACATCGATTGAATATTAAATCATCGAAATTACTTACTAAACAAAATATCAACTAGGCCTATTTGGAGTCATGAGTTTTCCCTTTTGGATCACAATTAGTTCAGTAGCATTATTGAGAAAAATTACTTTTATTACCTATTGGAAAACTTCATTTCTCTCTTAGTTGTTGTATATATGTCGTATGTTGAAAATATGATGAGTGGTTTAATCAATGAGGTATCGCTGTATATAAGATACATGGATGATCTCATTCTGTACGCTATTGAGTTTATGTGTTAACTTAGTAGCATCTAACTCTTTGTTATCATCGTAATCAAGACTTAATTTGTTCTTACTTTTTGTATATGAACTGTTCTCAGCATTACCAATGAAGTTATTTTGTTTTGTTATGTTAGTAATTTGTACTATTTAAGACTCAATCGACTTAAAGTTCTCCATTTTCAATTTATAACATGGATTAATTCGACTTTAATATTTTTTTTCTGTTTCCCTAATTTAAGCTCACAATCGATTGATTTAACGCACTAGTGAAGCAGTTCTACGGTAATCTTCTCAGTTTCTACGACACACTTGAATGTCAGAATACATCTTGTTTGTTAATGGGTTTCTTAGATTTAAATAACATCCCAAAGCACTTAGGATGCACATGTGCCAACAGTGATGGATAAGTTGCAAAGATTAGCATCAATAATGCGAGAATACAAACTGCTACCGATCAAGTTGCAGTGTGACCATTAGTTTAAATGAGTCCGTATCGCGTTGAATATGCTTGGATCTAGTCATGCTGACTAGTACTATTTAGCACGAGACTTAAGTTCATAGATTCCTACCGATTGGTTCTAACCAACTCCTAACTCATGTGACTGCTTAGAATTGCGTTGAATAAAGTGTCGGTCTTGAATCAGATATGTGGTATAACGTGGTGTATGTCTTAACGATCGATTATCCGGTTCAGTTGTAATGTAATTTCGGTTGCCAGTCGTAAAATCGTGTCATAGTAGTGTGATGTAAGAAACTGTAAACATTTATATTCTGCCGTTATATCATATTTATTTCAGTGGTGTTTCACTACAACTCACAGTTAAACAACGTAGTTCTCATCACATATACATGAATATAGTACATAATATTGATCAGATTAGTCGTTATTTATGGAATGGTCACTACTTTATCGATCTATCTTTTAGTGCATAAACGAATGTATACCTGTCCGAAACACTCTTATTTCTATTTTTAATACACTTTTTTATTTCTAAACGTGTTTAGTTGGTAGGATAAATACAAAGATAAGTGTACTATGTATATCCTATTAACATCGTTATCGTTCGATAATACTGGAGCCAAACGGGGACAAAAATAGTTAACCAGATGTGATTAAATTAATTTGTATGCCCAACAATCACAATAAATCACGTGATTTATCGCACCTTGCGCAAATATCCTGATAGCTCTATAGTTTACTTACAAGTGGTCGGTCAGTCACTCTTACACAACGTAGAATCTTGTACTTATGCGCATCAGTTCAAGTTGTCGAATTGAGTTGAGTTTTTAACAGTATCTGAAAGGATAAGGCATAGATGACATAACTCAAGAAAAAAACAAGTGAATTTGTGGAATAAAAAAGTATAAAATAATTTTGGAACTGATTATTTAATAGGAATATAAAGAGTAAATGCATCTGCGTCAATGCTTCCAATCCCGAAATAGTGTCACTCAAAATCCACATCAATTGTTTACGATAATTGTATGAACTTCGGCTAGGTTTGTGCCCCTGCCAACACGGCTCAATCCAACAGTCAATGACTACGTGAACTGATGTTACGTTCTTGTTTGATTTCCCCTAGTTTTCTTTCAATCTACTTCTACATCAGCCAAAATAGACACGTATAACATATCCCAACCACTTTAGTCGATAAAGACTCACTACTTCAAACGATTCTCCATATTTACCTATTATCATGTGTCTAACCTCAGTATTACTCACTCTTTCACAGGTAAAATATCTAATACTAACTATTGAGTTAGCGTATTTACTATTCATACGTATATCTCCTTTGCAATACAGTCAATTTTAAACCAATTAACTTTTTTCTTCTAAAACAAAATAACTTAGGATCCCCGTAGTCCAACGGTACTGAAAGGACAACATCGTCTACAAACTGATCATAATCTTAATCAACCACCTTTGATCATTAAAGATATGCCACAAATGAGCAATTATGTTCGTGAATTATACGATCAAAAATTGCAATATTTAATGACTCAATTACAAAAACAACAACACGTACAGAATAAAACGATAACGGTAGCGACTTCTGGTACTACTACTACTATTGCTGCTGCCGCTACTACTACTACTACTACTACTACTGTTAACTCAAAAGAAATTACTATCGGCAATGATTCACCGTCTAGTTTATCCATTTCAAGCACAGATTTAAATAAATTACCTCAAGAACAACAGCAACGGCCGGAGTCGGCTACTACCGAAAATAATCATAGTGGTGATGTTATGGGTATCAGTCAAGGATCAGTCCATACTGCTAGTCTTATGTTGATTGATAATGATGACGCCTCTGGAGTTTCTATCAGTACTCCTACTACTACTCCTACCATCAACACAGATGAAGCGAACGCTGATAATTCTGTGGAAATGGCAGATACTAATTAATATTTTCAATGTTTAGTAATGTCTCACTATGCTTTTATTATATTGAATGTATAGAATAAATTTTTTCATTTAATTCAAGTTCGTTTTTTAACGTGATTTAAAGAGAATCTGTTAGTTGTTAGGCGGAAATCTTATTTTAAAAATACATGATGAGCCATACAAAGTATCGGTTGTAAGACTGTTACCCACTTTAGATAGTGTGAGACCGTCGTTTAATATCGTGAATTGATTGAAGTTCGACATATTCATCAGTGTATTCCTTCTCAGTGGTCTAGAGGTCGTGCTCAAACACACAACCGAAAGTCCTAGATCCGACCCTTGGTGATCGGGTTGCGAATGCTCACTTCTAAGGAATGCTTTACTGAAACAAAACGGCTCGCCATTGCCTTCTGGTTTTCAATGAATTTCTAGCTTAAGAAAGAATTCGTCAATGATTCACAATGAAATAAGACGATTAGAATGATGAAAAATGCCTTAAATCTTTGCTCAGTAACCTTTTTGCTAACTTTTAATAGTTTATCTCCAGCCACTATTGGACATTGATGTTGCCTCTTGACTTTAATCAAAGTTGAAAACTTATGATGTCCAGAGTGAAATTGTTAAAGGACAGTTGAGTGAAGAATAGCTGGAAGCGCTGCTCGACTAGACATGCCTCTTTTCCATTGGTAAAGCGAAAGCATTCATCGTTCAGGTGAATGCGTTTGTCATAGTAATTTTCCGGCAAAGTAATGAATCACTGAATGGCAGCTGTAGATATCTAACTAGGTACCTGCAATAGTCATCTATTTATGTGGTGGTCAATAATCCAACAATAAAAAATGGATCATAACAAATTTCAAACACCAACTACGTTAGTCAATACAGAGAATTAACTTCAAAAATGTAAAGTCACAGCATAATTGAGAAGCAACTATCGAATTTCGATCGTTATTATTAATGGTGAATCATAAGGGTAAACACGTTTTTGAAAAATATGAGGTTCATATACATGCTCGTACATTGTGTGATATATTTTTCAAGTGGTTGATAATTCTTGGAGTTGTTTCTTCTCATTTAAATATTCCTCTTCAATTCTTTCTTTCAATTCCGACGCATCCAATGTACTCTTAAAAAAGAAATATCTCTGCATTACTATTGGAAATACAAATAATTAAACTACAGTTATGTAGTAGCCAAATATTAGTTCTATTGTGTTGAGGTGGTCATCCGTTTTCTGATACTGATATATGCCTTCCCTATACGCGAACTCAAACTCCCGAATGTTTGAAAAGCCAAGAGTGAGTAGGAAATTTTTATTGGTTAACCCGAACCAAAATATATGTACAAACTCATTAATACAGACATATGTTCCAAGAAAATTTAGCCAGATTTTCAACTATTGGCGTATGTCCGTTCCTTTCGATAGTTGAACCGAATCTTGACCAATAGTGTCCTCATATCAACACCTCTTATTGTTCGGCCCTGAACTAATCTATCTGATTGATCTTACCCATCCAGTGCTTAATTTGCACACTTAAAATTTCAGTAATGAAATATACTAAAAGTCATAACTAGTTCACTACTCTATAATAATAGTTGCAGTGGATAGTCCTCATGTACGAAAATACCCATTTCATCTAACCAAAAGCGTATGTTTTTTTATTTTAGAATGAGAAGTTCACTCCAACTGACCAATACATATATTATTTAGTCTTTATTTGTTATAACGTTTGAACTTTCACTTGCCCATTAATGATGAGTTCATTCTATCCTAATAAAACCAATCACCACCGCAAATGGCAACACAAGTGACTAATAACGACTGGAAATATGAACACCTGTTGGTCCGCGTAACCAGTCGGAACACGAGGGTAGCGAATAGACTCAGCTTCTCTGATTGTTTTATCCTACGATTCACAGGATTGTATATATCGAAATGGATGACTACAACGATCTAATAAGAAGAAATCCTAATGTATGCATAAGGTAGTTATACATGATACAAAACTGTGCACTTGGTGCATAATTAATTAACGGTAGTTTAGTAACGGTTTATGGGTTAAATTAAAACCTACAATAACGGTAACATAAAAATGTCATAAACATTGAACAACTACGTAACAAAAATATATATAATAATTTTCCGTAGAAAAGTTTTGGACTTTTTGCCTATCCCAGTTATTCGTCCATATCAAATACTAGTGTAACGCTACAGTACACTGTCTCATATTAGGTTATTGAAACCAACTTAACAGATAGCTTTGCTTAATCTAGTTAACACTTCAACAAGACATATCTACAATCTTGTGATCATTAGCTTAACTCATGTGACTTGGATCTGTGTTTTTGTTATAGCTGTTATCACTGAGTTCTTACACAATTAGTGATTAACCCGTTAAAATTGATATGTCTGCACATCAATTGATTATTAAGGCGTAACCATTGGTATATTATTATAAAGCTTAGTGCATATATTGCAGAAGAAGAAAAAGACCACTACAATACCTAGTCTACCATACTTATTATATTATGAGATGAAAAGTTCACCAAAGTAGAACTGTATCGAAAAATCTGACTGTTAACCATTGTTGAAAAAGAACCTTTAAAAAGAAACTCTTCAAGAATTCACTACTATATCCAAACTAAATGCAACAATTATTATTTATAAATTAATGTTTAATTGTAATATTTAACTTGCTTGTTTTGATTGTGAATTAAATAAATGTAATTCTTCAACACGATTTAATTGTTTTAAATAATCATGTCTCATTGATAATACAATATCAACTGCTAAATTATATTTATTTGCCAATTCAAGTGCTCTGTAAGCGGATGAATAAATGAGTGAATAGAATCAAAGGAAGCAAACATTGAAATAAGCACATTAGTTCTCGTGGATAAATAATACATACAGATTCAATAAGACTACTATCAAACTAATAATAACGATTATCAATTTATATGTAAAGATGGATAGTGGTTAAAAGTGGATTCCAGGATGCACGTTTCGTCCTATTTGGGACTCGTCAGTTGGATGTACCTGCATCTCAGAGTTGATGTTCACTCTGGGACTTGAACTCAGTACCATTCGCTTCAAACACCATCGCGTTATCCACTTAGCTACCGAGTCCTGATAGCCATTTGCTTGTGTAATCGGGTGAAGTTTAAATTCATTTGGTATTGTTTGTTTGAATCTTCCCATTGATGTTTAGGACTGCGATTGATCAGTCTCTTATTGACATATGTACATACTGTGCGTATTGCTTCGATATAGCCTTAAATAGGACGAAACGCGCGTCTTGGATTCCATTGCTAGCCACTATCCATCTTTGCATATAATGCTTGTGAATTAAGGTTATATCGAGGCAATACGCACAATATGTACATATGTCAATAAGAGACTGATCAGTTGCAGTCCTAAACATTAATGGGAAGATTCAAACAAACAATGCCAAGTGATTATCAATTTTGTTTTATCAAAGAAATTACAATGGTTGATATTATTTTCAAAGTTGAAATTTATCCTAATTTTAATTTCCTTATTGGATTGAGACATGTAGGATTTAATTATCTATAGATGAATTCCGATACTGTTAAGCATAGATTTAGCGTGACCAAAGTCAAAACAATTAAACTATTTAGCTTGAAAAACTTTATCTATTTCTAAAACATAAATTAATACCGTTAGTACAAAAACAGAAATCAATACAGTCTATTAAAAGGAAAAAGGACGGAGACAAAAATGAGCCATATCGAACAGTAGATAAAAGACACAAATGAGACCCCGGTTACATGGTAATGGGTTCACACTATTGAGGAGTCCTATAGTTGTATGAAACAGGCGTCTTGTGCTTCCAAGTTTTAGTGAAAAACTATGACTTTTAGATTTTAAAAAACTTCAGATTAAAACAGTTATTAAGTGGGTATACTTGCTCATAACTGACCGACTAAACAAACTTTGAAGTAGCCGACCTATAAATTTAACTATTCTCATTTCATATTTTTGTAAACAGATAAATTTATTTTTATCGCCCAGTTAAATAATAAAATTAGATTGTTGAGTTTAAATTGATATCACGAATAGACCAATGTTAGACGACCATTAAAACCCAGAAGTACTGGACAGCCTTTTCGTCCCAGTATGGAACTCTTCAGCAGTGCTCAGCCACAATCCCGCACGTTGGACTCGAACCCGGGACCTTTGGTCGCGCAATATCGTGGACTAATAAAAGTAGGATTAAATTTGACTCTAAACACATAAATTCTTGGATGCGATTAATAATTTCTATGATTTAAAATTATCAGAGGAAAAATTAAAACGTTATGACTAGTAGTTTGGCAGTCATATATTAATTTCACTGGCGAACGAGAAGTTTACAATGGCATGATGTGTGATAGCGGACAGACATTTATCTTTGCTAAATGTTGAAACAGTAATAGTATCGTGAATGCCTTTCGGAGAGGCCATGATTTATGTACGAACGAATCAGATCTAAGATTACAGCTCTCTCATTTTGGTGCAAAATTTATTTATCCATACGGCTGGGGACGAACTTCACGTTGACAGGTTTTTTGAATGCATCAAAATAAGTAATTAGGAACAATAATGGAGCGGATTTGCATGCATATAGCATAAAATTCTCTTTGAACCTAGCACACAACAATAGCATCAAACTGCATCACAAGGTAAGTCCTAACTTGGAATCCTGAAGGGAAATGGAAAAGAGGAAGACCAAAGAACACATTACATCGGGAAATAGAAGCATATATGAAAAGGATGAATAAAAACTGGAAAGGATTGCCCAGGACAGGGTTGGATGGCGAATGCTGATGGGTGGCCTATGCTCCTCCACGAGGAGTAACAGGCGTAAGTATAGTAAGTAATTACAATTATTTTTTCGTATATTTACTCACTCAGTGGTAAGTATTTCTGTAGTAATTTCTATCATAGAATTAATTGGAGATATGACTTTTGCTATAATACAATTTCTTTTCCATCATGACTGATTGCGTTACGCTTTACAAGTCCGTAGGATGATGGAGTAGTATTTTCGTCGTAGAAAACTATACATTTATCATGTAAGCCAGCAATAATGAC